TTCCCGATTCGAATTGTTGATTTCCCTTTTCCAGATATAGTAATGAAATCGTACAATTTAAACTCTTCATTATCTAATACTAAGGAAATTTCTAAATTATTATTATTATATATTAGATGACAAGTTATGTATTAATATTAATTTATATTTGTTCATTGTCATTATTATCTTCATTGTCATTATTATTATTATCTGTATTACTTTTATTATTATTTATATATCTTTTAGCTCTCTGCATAGTCCAGGTTGGAAGATATACTAACGCTTCCCTTATTTTTTCTTCGAGCTCTTCCTTGCCAACATTCAATAGTAATAGCGGAGCAAGTATTTGTTTTTCCGCATCTGTGGTCACGCGGCGTGTACGCGTTATCATGGATGGCGACGATGACGTATTAGTATGTTGTTGTGATAATGCAATATTCATATTAACATTAATATCCGATTGACTGCTCTTTTGCTTTTTCAAATTCTCAAGCTGAGCGAATCTATAACAAGTCACGTTTGCTTTACCGCGACCAGTGGATACTCGTTTCTCAGTTTTATATACGTCTTGCGCAAGTACTTTCTCGAAACGCTGTTTACCAGCATCGTAAAATGAAAGAATATTGTCTATGCCCTTTCCATGAATTTCCGGTACACCTTCGAATAAACCATTTGCCTCAGGATTTGGGTGCCTAAATGCTGATGACAGTTGCTCAACCAAAGACCAAATTGCATCTCTGCGTGACTTGGGCTTGCTCTGGTAATGCTGCTCTGTTACAATATTACCAGTGTATGCGGTAAGCAGCATTGACAAACGATTTCTCTCACTCTGAACTGCCTTAATCTTTGACATCATTGTCGCTTGGTCTGTAAGATTTCCAGAGATGTTTTGTTTGACAAATTTTACACCTTTTCTTTCAAGAGCTTCATCAAAACCCAAATAATGGCCCTCACTTGCAAGATTTACCGAACATACTATTTGTAGTAATTCTTGTAGTTTTTGATCGTCATGCACTTGTGCCAGAAAATGTGCTACGGCGGTCGCATAATTAAATTTTCCAGCTGCAGGGAATAGAGGTGCAAATGCAGCAAGATTTGCCATTTGCATTTCGTAATTTCCTCTTCTTATTCCGATTTTGTGACCCACGAAATATCCCGCCCAACGGAAGAAGAGATACCACACCTTCAACAACTGGTTGTCACCTTCTAAAATGTCATTCAGCGTTTCTCCTCGACTTTTAACATCCTGACACAATGCAATTCCAACAGCAATCCAGATTAATTCCAAGACATGACATGTAACTCGATAGTCTACAACTTGCTCAAATTTATCCATGAACTTTACACCGAGGACTTTTGCAAGGTCAAATATCCCATATCCTGAAAATATTTTGATTAACACACTGCACATATCTTTAGATGTGTGCCATTGTCCCAATAAAACCTGGACGTTTGGGTGTTCTTCCTTATAAGAAATTAACCGCGCAAAAATTGCTTGATCACATGCAATATATAATTGTTCGTTACTACTGATTGATAACTCATCCCAGTACATTTCACAAGCATCGTGAACATTGTCATCACAATTTGGTGCCTTTCCAGGTTCCAATATCACAACATTTGGTTGTGGTACATTACAGCCTATTTGTACTTGCTTGGCAATTTCTGAGAGCACTTCCGTGTCAAACTCATTTCTGTAATCATCTAACATAGTATTGAATGTAGACTCATAGTTTTGTAGAAGCTTATCAGTAAACGAGGATTCACTGAATAATGGTAGACTAACTGAGTCAATGTCCATTGTATCGCCGAGAGGTTCAGGAAGAGTAAATTGAAATAACATTCGTAATAATGCGTGTGAAGATTGCCTTGTCACATCAAATATGTTCCCTCGCGCAAATGTAGCAGCCTTAAAGTCTATATTGTCAATTACTGCCAGATTAAATATTCCTGGTCCTTTAATTATATTGACTGTAGGGTCTGTATGAATCCTTCTGTAACGCTCAAGGCTGCGTTCATGTCGTCTAGTATAAGAAACAATACCCGCAGTGTAAAGAATCTTACGTGGCAGTAATTTTGGTTTCTGACATAGCGAAGACAGCATGTGCGTGAACCATACTTTTAATCCGGGAAAGGCAATTGTAAGTAACATAGATGCGTATAATGTCGTTACTTTTGTTATATGATCTGTGTCGAGTAGTCTTGGAGATATGCCGCGCTGCTCTCGTTTTTTGTTAACAACTGCCAGCCTTTTCTCAAATAGTACTGTAAAAAGTGATTCGAAAAAATTACGGAGTGGACTTGGTATTGCCTCAGAATATTTCTCAAATGAACTCGGTTCCTCCAATTGGTGTACATTTTGCCTAATTTCAGAGCGTGAAGAAAAAATACTTCTGCCAAAATTCTGTCCCATAGTTTGAATATTTTCTGACGTGTACGCGTAAGGCCTCTTTATTGCATTTTTTAATTTACGTTCACCCAGTTTTAATGCAATTTTAACAGATAGTTCACTCAATGGTTCTGCTGGCGTTGTGGTGGGTTCATCGAAAATCGTAAACATCTGAGGCAGTAACGATAGAAATCTTTTTTGTAGTGTATCATCACCGAACTCTGCTACTGACATCACCCAATTTCCAAAATGTCTTATAGCTTTTTTCTGGTCGTCGTTATGTTTTCCAAGTTCGTGGCATGATACAGCGTTATGGCCTTTACCGCGTCTGATATATAAATGTCCACCCTGCTGCTCATAGCACGCAGAACAAATATAACGTGCATTATATGATGACAATGTTTTTTGTACAATAGATCCCTCAGAAAACGCCTTACACTTTAAGTTGCCAATGCAAGGTATTTGGATGTTGCGATCATTGATTTTCCATGAATGTTCTCTGCAATATTTTCCACGGCTGAAAAAACATTTTAATTTGTTACAGAAAAGGCAGATACGGTAATGAATATAGCCATTCTCGGAATCAATCAATTGTTTAGCACCTTCTTCATGCAGATCTTTCATGTCAAACTGGAAATGAGAATCACAAACTCCGGGTTGCTCGTCAGCCGTTTTATTTTTGATTGCATTTCCATCTATTTCCCATGTCCCTATCAACTGCTTTAACGATCGTAATTTATAAGTGTTGTTGCAGGGTCTCATTTTGTCTTGGTCCTTAATCAGGAGCACGCATGGGGTTAAAACTGCTGATCTTCTTTTTTTATTATTATTATTATCAGTATTTTCCCGGTCTATGTCCATACTATCGTCAGCTTCTTCATTTTTGTCTGAATTGTCAATGGTTATGTCAGCTTCTTCACTTTCGTTTGGCATCAACTCGTTTAGATCGTCAAAGGTTATGTCATTCCAGTCTATATTTATTTCATTATCGTCCTCATTATCATTTGGCGATATTGAAGAAAAATCCTCACAGACAATTTTTTCCCAAATATCCATGTCTTGGTCTGCACCATCAGTTGCATCGTAAAAGATATCGTCTGTGAAATTTGCTTCGAAATCCATGTGTGTATTGTATAGTGTCTTTTTGATAAATGTTGGGTTGCGAAATTTGTCTAATAGTAGGAATAAGAGTAATATTATATGCTTTGTAGTTTAGTTGCTACTATTGCTGCTTCTGACGACGAGACGCTTACATTCGGTCAATTTATAAGAAATGAAAAACGCGTTTCGTGATCGGGTATAATGATGTCATCAAACTTTCCGAAAAAACAACTAATCCAAATTTGATTGTGATTAAAAATAGAAGTTTCATGCAATATTCGGCTAATGCTAACAGATTTTGTCCATAGCATTTATGTCATCCTATTCCGGAGAGACAATAATAATAAGAATAACATTGATATTAATATTAACACTAAAACTAATGCGGGTTATCATTATTATTATTATTATGTACAAGTTTTAATTGTAGCAAGACAATACACTGCATTTGGTATTACAGTTTTGACTAAATGCGAAGACCCGAAATACTAAATTGTAACAATAAAAAGACATACTGATCACGTATTTATTGTTTGATTTAATACGTAGTAGTAGTGTAACAGGAATAGTAACACTAATTACAACGCATGCATGACCCAATCCCAAATTCTAATACAAAATAAGATATGACGATCTACTATGATAGTAGTAGTAGTAATGGATGTGCGACGAACAGGATCCGAATTCAGAAAAGGGGTGAGTGGCCATGGAAAAGGGGGGAATTTTGTGTGATTTCTGCGAGTTCAGTGATACCAGACATGTTAGCTTTTTTTTTTCTCTTCACTTTTTTTTTATCGTCCAAAACATTCCTTAGTATTAGAAGTGGAACTTCTGTTGCTATCCGCGTCACTCACAACTAGTACCGACTACTGATCTCTGCTCAGATAAGTATCAAAACCAATGTTTAATCTTATTATTATTATTATCATTAGTATTAGCAATAGCATTTTGGTGTATTTGCGATTTGCGTAATAGTAATGGTAATAACAATAGCAATAGTAATTATAATATGATATAATAACCGAACGCTTTTTCGTCACTTAAGGAGTTGGTATTGGATAACTGAACACTTTTTCATCGTCATTGTCTAATATGGTATGTTGATAACGTGATTTTATACGGCGCAGCAGAAATACTGTAACATTACTACCGTTACTATTACTATTGTTCGGTATATCAAAAGCGGAATCTAATTTATTATTATTATTAGGATTAGAAAAGCCGAAGTAAAAATATCCGGATAACAATTAGCTAATGCATTTGTTAATTTTTCAATCTATTACTATTACTATGCGCAGATTGTAGCTTAATTTCTATTTTTAACTGTCACAGGGGAAATATCGGCCGTTTTCTGGGTAGTGCAAAACTTATTTTTAAATCATACTAATTATAATACTCAATTTGGCAATTTAATAATATTAATCGGTAATCCGAGTTTTATCTTTGTCATATCGGACGATTAGCCGAGGATTGAACAGCCTGCTAAAATACATAGTCATCGCACATCAGTATAGCGTGTATAGACAACGAAAAAAGAAGGATTTCGGCCATCACAGCATAAACGGCCGCAATACAGGAATTCCAAGGAAAGGATGAGTTAGAGTATATAAAGGGAGTGTGTCTGTTCGTTCTTCCAACAGTTAACAATCTTAGTAACTTGCTAAATTCGACTTATACTACAAAATGTCTCACAACTACTTCGTCAACAACGCCGGCGCAAACGAGAATATCCGTGGCTTAACAGCATGGATAGTGTGGCAGAAGCTGAACAATGCCACCGAATTGACACCAACGGCCGCCAAAAAAGGATATTCGGAAGAAATCACGAAGGCCATTGATTGGGCGCAAGAAAATGAACACGGACAATTGATGATTACGCTTGAGGAAGAAAAGAAGAAAGTCAACAGAATGAACGCTGTAAGTTTTGTTTTATTTTATTAAACTTTGTATTGAAATGATGAACAGGAATGGTGATAAAAAATTGGCCTGGATCCAAGCCATGCTCGGTTATTATTCGTGATGGTACCTACGGGTTAAGTTACGGTTTTAGGCGAGAAAGAGATATTTATCTTTTGAAACATGAAACCAATATTATATACCATCTGAGATCACCATCCTGTTAACCAATTATATATATCGTAAGTTCTTTTTTTCACAATTTTATGTTTTTTTTTATAGGGTGTTATAGCCGATTTTATCAAAGCGGCTAACGGTATTTACAGTGAGGTGAGTATTACTAAATTAATTGGTTTATCATTTAAGAATTGACATTAACGTTTATTAACAATATGTAGATTAAAACGGATGCCAAGTATGCAACAAGTGCATCCATTGCTAAAGCTAACATTGCAACAATACGGAAGAATCTGGTAGGTGATAATAACGATTGATCATCACTTATTATATTAATATATAAAATAAATAACTTTATTATTATTATTATAGAACGAGATTCTTCCATTTGTTGCGAATGAGACACGTAATGCACTCGTCATCTTTCGCAACATGCTTGATGAGGTGCTAAACAGCGGGGAAGCAATTAATCCCCTAAGACCCCTTGCGACCGGCGTTCTTGATACGAGTGGATCAGACAGTATGTGGACAAAAATGATTACCAAAGATGCAGGAGTAGTCTGTCTTAGCCATCCACCCAGATTGTATTCGAATGTAAATTTTCATAGCAGCATCGGTCAAATGTGTGAGAAATTGATTAAGAGGAAAAATGCTGCATACATGTGTCGTGATGGTAAACGCTGTCTGATCGACTCCATCAGGACGCCAAAGGGTTTGCAGCATGAACAAGAAAGCGTCAAGCTGCAGGTTCATGCAGCACATAGGTTGTTGGAAAATCTGTAAGTCAAATTTATGGAAATGCTGTTTTGAGATAGTAATAGCTCTTGTATTTATCTATTTGTTCATTTGTAGGCGTTGTATCTGGCAATTCCCAGAAGACACCGGTAACTACAATGAAGGGACTTATGTTGTGGGGGTTATTTCACATCTGTTAGAAGTCCTTGGATATGGGGCGAAGGCGTTGGTCATGAGATGGTAATATGATTAATATTATCTTGTTCGTGTTAATAATTAGTAATGATTTCTAATACTAATTTGTATTATACAATGTATTTACAGGGCTGAGGAGGCTAGCGAAGCATCACCGCATCACAAACCCGACATGCGTGTCAAGGTAACCGTACCTATACGTGACATAGAAAGTCTGGAGATCTTATTTCTAGAGAGCTCGCGACCTAAAGCAGATGTTCAAAAGTTTCTTTTGGATTGGGTGAAATTGGTGCGTATGGGTAAGGATGCACATGATCGAATGCTCAATACCATAACAAAGAATCGAGCAGAGACACTGCGCAAGTCTAGCGAAGGTAGAGAATTTCTACGACAAGTGGGTGATATACCTATCTTGTTGATACAAGTTCATTGCCATGAGGTTAAGATCGCAATATTAGATAGACCTTATTGTGCATATTATCAGGTACGTGTGCTAGAAAAGTTTACACTATCCTTAAACCCTATTGAAAGTCCAAAGGAATTGGAGGATTTTGTATGCCGCTGGCTACGTCTTCTAGAATATCTCAATAAGATCGATTCTAAATTGCAAGATCTCTGGGAATCAGAAAAAGATCTGTTCTTTACTCGACCAGATAGCTCTGATGCAATGAGTGTTGATACCTATCAGACTCCTCGCACTCCTACTCATGACCATACTTACTTTTATGATATCAACAAATTTTAAAATAAAGAATATCTATTATAACTTAAACAATTGAATCGAGTTACTAGTAAAGATTGATTTCGCGTTTCGAAGAATCAAGCCAGCCATCACTTAATATTAATATTAATGAGCATGTAAACTATATGAGCATTGGATTCTAGGATGTTGACTTATTAGTGATTGATGATGAAAATTGATTTCGCGTCTTCGAAGAATCAAGCCAATTGGTATAGTAATAGTCAAAAAAATCGTACTTAATATTCAGTTTTTTTGCACATACATCGATAACAGTTATCATTAACAAGTGAGTTTCATAAGCAATGGATTCATGGTGCATCCATGCACACCGTGTCCATAACAGCATAGTCCCCTCCCACGTTCAATATACATCATTGAAATTTGCCATCTCGTATGGCATATGCCAAGTCAGAGACATTGATGACAAAGATGACATAGAATGACGTTCAACTGCTAACAATGGTAATTACAACGAAAACAGAGACTGTTGATGAGCAACAACAAAGTCTACTATCAACGAGACTATTCATCATAAAGCAGATTCAACTCACATGACTACCACCCTCTCACCTCCGCTCACATTTTCTAAAGAATTGACACATTTAATGATAATAGTAATAGTGATTAATATAATGTTCACGCTTACATAATAATAATATACGTCTGAAGGAAATGAAATGTTAGAAACATACCAACAGAACAGCGCATTTCACCCCCACATGTCATCTCTCAAAACAGTTTCTGTAATAAACAACAAGTAATAGTAATAGTAATAGTGGAAACTCTTAGCTGTGAACTCAAGAGTACTTATTATTATTACTTACTATCACTAATTCGGCTATTATTATTATTATCATTGATACGTAATAGTAATTCAGATTCTGGTTAATATTAATATTCAGTTGGTATTAGTATTAGTATTAGTAATCGCGATGCCTGGTATTACTATTACAGGTTGTTAGAAACTGTCAGGCTCATACTTACCAGAAGCGTTTTCATATTAATATTAATACGTTGGGTTAGTGAAAAAAGAAAAGAAAACGTAAAAAAGAGAATGTTGGAATGAAGTACTCTTGCGATTTCGGTAACGACGCTTTATTACAGGGGGTTAAGATACTCCACCTTTAAATAAAGATCTTCCTCGAACTAAGAGAGAAGAAGAAGTCAAGGTTATGCAGTGTGATAGAGCAACTTCTTGCGCACATTTTTTGTATATGGAGTATGGGGATATGCAACATCAACATGTGACTTGCCATAGGAGCGATTGATTTCAAAACGAGAATTTCATATATAAATTTTGCGATCGACATGCCAATAACTACTATCAACACAATTGCTAACCCCTGTACTAGGGACATTTCCCCTGACTACTAATACGTTTGAAAGATAATACATGTGTTTTTAATCTAAACCAAACCAAAAGACTAATTTATTTTACAGTCAACAAAGTTTTATAATGGCGTGTTAGTACGTTAATAATCTAATATAAATAAACGGTATTAAAGAAAAGATTGTCGACACAAACAAAGTTACCAATTTGCATGGCCTTCTCGTAAAATTTCAAATTTTCGCGCACATACATATCTAAACAAAATATGCATTCAACTATTTTCGTGCAGACCACACGAAAATAGAGAGAAAGAAGAGTTTTTTGTAACACTAGTACCATTTTATCTAACTATCCAATATTCGATTTGTCTCGGAGCAAGACCTCGATTTCTTCTTCAATTTAAACATTTTCACTAATTTGATGTCAATGTAAAATATAAAATGCTTATCAAATAAGTGAGTTTATGTTAGTTTGATTTTGACTACTTGTTCATTAGTATGTTTACTGATATTAATACTATTTCTTAAATTCTCTTAACATTGCCAAAATTTTTTCAAGAAATGCTAATTAGAACAATGACTTCTAGACAGGAGACTGATCATTAATTTATGCGGATCAAGACACGTGGAGATTTATAAACGCAAGATTGTTTATGATAACATTAAAAATTCGAACAATCTGAAACCGTTAAAACCCTAACACTAATCTTATGTTAAAGGTCGAAAAAAGCTCTTCGCTTGGGGAGGATTTTGTTGGGAGACAAATAACGGTTTTAACAAGACAATATACCAACCGCCTTGCAAAATACTTTCTTTGGATAACGCGCTTGAGGCTATAGATTGATGTTCTAATATCACGTAATTCTGATCTACAATTAACCGCTAATTGGATTAGTACAATCAATGAAACGCCAATGTGAACAAGTCACTTCGGTCGCTCAATGACGTTACTGTGTATAATAATTTAGATTTTATAAATTAAAAAAATACTTATTTTTCTATTTTACTATTTAAATATAATGTAATAGGCGTTATTATTATGAAATGTTAATCGAATTACGCAATCGCTTACATTATTGCCAGCCGAAACGAGTTATAAATCGGTCTATCGCAATTTTATTGCAGGTCTCGAAAATGATAGCACGTTGAAATTGTTAAAATATGATGCGTTTCGCAAGCTATGGCACCAATTAACGCCTTATATTCAAATCATGAGTCCAAGAACGGATTTGTGTGACACGTGCCAACATTTTTGGAACGGTTTGCAGTACAATGCTCGTAAGGAAGAAGAAGCCAGAGATTTAGCAGAACAACAGAGAAAATTGGTAGATGAGCATTTTATAACAAGAGGTAAACCTGATTATTGCAGCATTGACGCGACTGCTCATTACAGTTACGATTGGGCACAAAACGTTTACGTACCTCATTCCGATCAACAGGTAAGTAAAATTTATTACCTCAGTCCGCGTAAAGTGCATTTATTTGGTATCCAAGATGAAGCAGTACGCGAACAAATTAATTATGTTCTCGATGAAGACGAAATTATAGGAAAAGGTCCTAATGGCACGCTAAGCATGGTATTATGCGATTGAATAAAGGTGAAAAGCATTTAAGATTACTTGGTAATAATGCGGGTGGTCAGAATAAAAATAATGCTACTATATGATTTTACTTATATTTAGTAATTGCTGGCTATTATAAAAGCGTTGAATTAAATTTTATGGTATCAGGACATACTAAATTCAAGTGTGATGGTAGTTTCGGACTGATTAAAAAACTTTACCGAAAGACGACAGTAGATTGTGTAGATTATATCGTTGAGGTTGTGAAAAAATCGAGTATAGCAGGATTAAACAAGGCTCAACGCTATGACAACGGAAAAGGTTTTCAGTACTTAGATCTAATTCCGAGTTGGGAATTTTCTTTAAGAAATTGAGTGGTTTACAAAAATATCAGAATTTTGTATTTGAAACAGCCAAACCCGGTATTGTCAAAGCTCAGCTGGTTGCTAATGGTTCCTTCACCGAATTTAATTTATTGAAAACCAGAAAAGCAAGTGTTTCTGAAATTACCAAAGAAATTAAATTTTTTTCTATTTTAGTTCTAACTCTGTCTCCTTTGGATTACAAAAGACAAGAATATCTTTATCATAATATTCGCCCATTTGTTAGAGATGAATTAAGGGATATTACTTGTCCCAAACCAATCTATCCTGATAGTGAATAAAAATATTTTAGTCAACCACAAAGTTTATTACTTTATTAGTTTTTGTTTGTTCTATTAAATTCTTTACGATTTAATTTTTTATTAAAATATAATATATGAATTAAAATCATGACAAACCAAAGCAATATTTAACTGAAGAGGAAATAAAAGAACTAATTGGTAGGTTAAACCGAAATCCAAGTGAAGCAAATATAAGAGCAGTTAAAGATTACTTTTGACTTCGCCCTTATGCATTAAAACACTCAGAAGACAAAGAATTTAGAAAAGGCTTTGTTCGCCTTATTTACATGCATCACAATACACTTAATTGATACATAAAAGTTGATAAAGAAGTTAAAAATTTACAATCCTTAACAATTAGTTTAGAGAAAGAGAGAAATAAATTGCTTGAAATAAATAAGCAATTGGAAGTAAAGTTAGAAAAAAAAAGATAATAGAATAGAAGAATTGGAAGAAAGAGTAGAAATAGAACAGGAAATGTCCATGAAAGCACTTGACAAAGCTGAGGAATGTCATGAGCGAAAAAACTTTGAAATAGCTATGCAGAAAGATGTTTTTATTTTAATATTTAACTAGCAACAAACAATAGAAAAATTGAGAAAGGATTTAGATTCTAGAGACGAGAAAATAGCTAAATTAACTAAACCTAAGAAGTTCCAACAACTCTGAAAGTTAGCAAATAAAACTAAAGAAAAATTAGCACAAAAGTTAATGTAATCAAAGAAAGCATTAAGGAAAGAGAACAAAAATTCCAAGCCTACATTTTACAACAATTCGAAACACATGTTTTGAAACAATAATTATGAAGTTGGACTATAGAATTCTTGAGGTAGTAGAAGGAGATAGACAAGATTGTAATTATTGTTCATTTAAAAACAATCTTACTCTCAACATTGCTACTCACCAAGTAGCAGCATTCAAAGATAATGATAATTATGCTGACATAGCTTATATTTGTGCTGATTGTAAAAAGGATCTTGAAAATGATACTCTTCCTTACTGTGAACTTTGTGGTAGACTAAAGAGAAATAGGAAAGGTTGCTTTTGTAATCTGTTAGAGAATAAACCAATACAATCACTTTCTACAGAAGAAATAACATCTAGAACTTTTGGTTATCGTTTGGAAAAGAAAACTAGAAAAAGAACTAACAAGTGCTAAAGAAGAATTAAATATTGAGAGGGAAGAAGTAGTTAAATTTCATGACAAATCAAAAGATGAGGTGATGAGAAATCAAGCAGATTAAAGAACTAGAAGCAGAGAATGCTAAGTTAAAAGAAGAAAATAAACAATTAAAGGAACAACAGAATGGTCAAGTTGCTCAAGTTGAAATTAAAGAAAATAAGAGATGACCTTGATTAAAAGTAAAGAAGTAATTTAAATTTCATAAGTAATTTTTTCTTAATTTAGATATTCCTGGAGTGTTTGGGTATTATTGATTTTAAAAATGTAAGGGGCAATTTTTTCTCCTTGAGCTTTCTTCTAATGGTGCTGTAATTTTTTGGTTCCATGGTCAATTTGATGTAAATTGGTTTCATATTAATGTTTTTATATATAGAGATATAATATTAATATATATTAATCCTGTTATGGTTTATATTCACCACCTTCTGGTATGATAAAGTGAGCATTAATATTAATAAGTCCATAAGCACCATTATTACTTTTCAAAACGTTATCAGTCACACTGGTCAATTTTACAGTCACATCACAATCAGCCTCTCATTTATGAAATGTTCACTTTGTCTGGTTTTGTTGCAGCATGCCCCAAATTAATTTACATCAAGTCTACTATGGAACCAAGAATTATAGCATCATTAGAAGCATTCGACAAAAAGCTCAGGGAGAGAAAACTGCACCTTATGTTTTAAAATAAATGACACAAAGATTCTTGAGGAATATCTAGATAAAGAAAACATCATTTATGAATTTATCAAGAGAAACGGAAAATCATAACTACTAAACGAGCATTAACACCAACAACACATGAACCAAGAAAGAAACGAAAACTTGAAGAAATGTAAGAAAAGTAAATCTAACATGAAAAACTTCCCACAAAGGCCTCCATTAAAATTAACAAGTCCATAATAATATGTTATGATGAGCATCAGTATTACTATCAAAACGTCATCTCACTTTGTCTGGTTTTGTTGCAGCATGCCCCAAATAACAACTGACAAACATTTTCTCGCAGACAGTATAATAACTGTGACGGAAAATGAGAGGGTACCTCCCACAATCTGAAAATTGACTTGGCATGAAAAAAAAAGTCTGGCTATTAGGAGACGAGTTGAACGAAATCAATAAATCGAATTTTAATATCAAACGTCCCATTTACTTTAACAGGGATACTATGATAACTATAGTGCTCTCAAGTCCTGGATCTGTGAGTAGTAGACCTCAATTTTGGTCTATCATCCCAAACATAAACGAGTTCAATCATGAAAACCTAAACCGAGACATAGAGTTCTGAACTTCTCCCCTTATGTGATAGCTAATGGGAACGCGACTCTGCCGTACTCTAAAGCCGACGATGAACATAAGTAGACGCGCGAGAAACAGTAAATTTGAAGCAAGAGAACAATCAACTAGTAATATGCCTAAACTTTTTACATTCTATAAGAACATTTATTCTTAAATATATATCGAAAAAAGGCGTTTCAATTACTATTATAATGTTTTAAAATATCGTCTTTGTAACGCTTATAGTTTCATTCCTCTTTCATTTCCACATCGAATTCGTCACCAGTTGACCACAAGTCCATAGCATGTAGAGTATAGTCAACAATAAATGAATCAGTCATCATTCGATCTACACGTTGATAATGTCGTTCAGAGTATGGGATCAACCCGTCGAGAAGCTGGAAACAAGACAAGAGTGAATAGATTACACATATCGTTCAAATCCCATGTCAAGTGTTTCCAAACTTACCCCCTTGATGCCATTTATTTCTTGCAACCGTTCTGATGAAAAAAATCGGAGAATAGCATGTAAGATGGTCTGTGCTGTCCGCGACCTTTTCGCGTTAGTGTTCCAATCCCGTATATATGTCAATAGCTTTTCAACGTCATTTATTTCGAGTGATGCAATAATATCATCAATTGCCTGAGAGCCCGTTATACTTGTATCGTCTATTCATATGTAATAGTCAACATTATTAGTCAATCCACATACTACATTTCCCCCTTACCATATATTCAAAATAAACGTACCTTCAACTTTCTCATTTATAATGTTACTGAATAAATTCAACAATCTAAAAGGCTGCCCTAAATTCATGGCCAACAAGATGGCATTCTTGTAATCCTTTACCGCCAGAAAGTTGGCCAAATCCTGTTCTTTCAATATCAATTCCTCTTCTTCTCTGACTCTGGCTTCCATTTCTTCCGCGGTACAATCTTCCCAAAAGTTAATTAAAGAGTCAGCGCCAGCAGTGATAACTGTCTTTTCGTCTTTGGATACAACAAGAGTCCATATTTTATCAGTGTGATTATCGAGGGTAGTTGCACATTCGTTTGTCTTGATGGTCCAAAGTTTGACCAGGCCATCCGAACCCGCTGATACAATCTGCGTGCCAGATGTCAGGAAAGACGCTTTTAGAACTGTATTCGTATGGCCTTCAAATGTCTGAATGAGGAAAGCGACGACGTGAGGTAGGGCTAGTTAGATATCACCGGTTAATTGGCCGTCATAACAAATATTACATCATGCCGCAATTTTATTTACCTTTAAACACGAGAAATCGGATAATGACCAAATCTTAATCGTCTTGTCTCCCGAACTAGTGAGCAGGCATTGATCTACCGAAGAAAACTGCACCGACCATACGCCCCGTTTATGACCATTACACGTGCCGATTAATGTTCCGTCTGCCACTGACCATACTTTGACCGTCTTGTCCTGTGATGCAGTCGCAAAAATTTTGTCATTCGGAGCAATCGCAATGGAATTGATGTCTTTGTCATGAGCCAGGTGCGTGTAAAATGCTTTTGGTCTGAAGCTATCAGTCGATGATAATCTATCTATGTAAATAACAAGAAAAGTATTATTTTAATACTTTAATCACTCTATAGTGCATTCATCCCTGATAAAATTTGTGATGCTTCGGAAATCCTGTGTACATATGTAGAGAACTTACCAAGCTTTTGCAAATCCCAGTATTTGACCGTTCTATCTCTACTTCCAGTTATGCAAAAGCTTGCATCCTTTTTTGACAGTGCCACAGCGCCTATTGCCTCTGCGTGCCCACTACATATACCGACGCATTTTATTGTTTCCTCTGCTTCAAAGTCTACAGTCCATAACCTCGCCGTACGATCCTTCGATCCTGAGAGAAGTAGTGTTCCATCTGTTGATCTATCCAAACATATTACAATGTCAGAATGTCCATATATAACATCACAATCGAGTGTGTTGATATGATATATGCGGATTTGTTCGGTATTAGTGGCTATGGCCAAGTGATCGTTGGCTCGGCCAATGTAAGCAATGTCTATTATTTCATCGTTGTATCCAATGATTTGTTTTGTCCGTTTAAGATTAAGATTAATGTTGTAGATGAGAATGTTCTGGTCGGATGTGATGACAGCGAGGTTGTTCGACAACGTACAATATCTGCAAAGAATTATAAATGTAGAGACATTGGATTAATATATACTCTGTACATGCATATACCACCGGCGATAATAGTATCGTATTACATAATATCAGATACAACGTGGTTGGTATTCTTTTCTGGTTCTTGTGATTTGACGAGCTTCCCCGAATTTAGGTCCCATATTCTGACTATTCCTTTATCACCTCCAGTGTAAAATAGTTCATTGTGCTCGTGATCATCTTCAACACCAAATGTTGTCTCTGGTTTTAGTATCCCAACTGTTTCAATAGTCTATATCATACATGTCATTAGTTGTAATCGAATTACCGAAACCGTTATTATTGCTGGTTATAGTTTTACCTCATATATCGGGAAAGTGTTGATTAGCTTCTTATTCTCTATATCCCATACATTAACGACCTTGTCTCTGCTACCACTAATGAGGAGATTTCCATCATTTGACACATCCAATCCACGAATCAAACTGACGTGACTTTCAAACACAGCAAGACAGCTGCATTAAAGAAAAACAGTGAGCAATCATTACATGTTTTCATAGATAGTTTAAATAAAAACCTGTTCATCAGATTGTTCATACTTTCGCGATTTTAGATCCCAGACGCGAATTTTGCAATCGTCCGCTCCAGAGAACAGCAACAACCTTTTAATATCAGGATGAAATTTCAACGCAGTTATCACTCCCCCATGTCCACGAAAATTATGGGTACAATAACCGCCATCAATATCCCATACTCTGACTGTGCTGTCAGCCGATCCAGTGGCCACAAGTGTCGAGGTAGTGTCGTTAGCCATCATAAGAATTGGAGCATCATGAGCTTTGAAAGAACGTAATATTCGAGCAGCCTGGAGATCCCATATTCGTACTGTAAGTGATCTGCTTGAGGCTATAAGATATTTGTCATTCGGCGTTGTTGTGAATGTGGTTATCGGTTCTGTGTCCTATAATTAATATATATCAAACATGAACATTTTGATCCCCATCGCGTCGATATACTGGTTGTATTGTATGTCGTTATCAAATTTTACCCCTTCCAGACTCGCAATCCTTGTGCCTGTGTTTATGTCGGTTACTATAATAGTATCAACAACGGTTGTTATTATATACTTCTCATCGGATGTCATACACACTTTACCACCAGTGTACAATACATCGATTGTTTTGGACAGCTTAAAGCTACAAGAAACAAATTAGAACTCATTTTAGACACAGAATGTTACACCCCGCGTAATAATACTCACCTCGTCTTCAATTGTATTTTAGTATCTGGTGCAGGCATAGTTTAACTACCGTAAAAAAGATCGTATTGGGCTTGATCGAAATCTTTTTGATCCAAAATTTTTAGCTAGTAATAAGTTACACCAATTTTTGACCAAATTCCTTAAACAATGCTTGTCTACTGTAAATTAATACGTGATATCGTTTGAGCAATCAACGCTCAAGAAGAAACGCGATGTTCTATTGATGTTTTCGAACAACCAGAGAATCCTCTTTGGCCGTAACTAATTCCATAAATTCTTCGTCTGTTGAATAGATGATAAACATCATCCAGAATTGGTATAAAGTTCAAACAAAACCGTTTTTCCTTTTTTTTTGCTAACTTGATTGTAGCATTATTATTACGAGCGTTCAATTGCATCTTTCGAAACAAAGTTTTTCTTTCTGCTACCATTTGCCAAGCAGTCACGAGACAAAGCCAGTATACTCCAAACTCAACACGCTGATTTATTAGACCAACATTCTAGTTGTGAATATTTCATTGATAATACAAGATTCGAGCAGTAAAGTCATCGTCGCTATAACGATAAATATCAATTATATTACGATTATCTATGATATCGAAGGCTTCAACAGACACAATCTGCTTTGCAATGAGTTCTGCAGAGTCTAGTAAAACATTAATTTAAATAATTCTGTTTACACAACACTGTATAATAAGCTCTATCATATTCAAACTATCCTTCATGATCCATAACAGACCCCACACCTTTTCTCTTGGTTAACTTATGCATTTGTCTGTACAAATTCATCTAGTGCTGCTTCCAAAATATCCATTCCTTCCTTTGCTTCCTCTTTTTTCAAATTTAGCGGCGGTACTAGTCTGACGACATTTTTTCCCGCTGTAATTACCAGCAGACCTCGATCGCGAGCTAATTGCAACAACGGAACTGGATCAACATTTAGTTGTAATCCGAGGATTAAACCCTTTCCTCTGACTTCGGCAGCCACTTTAGGATATTTCTGCACAAAAGATTCCAATCGAGATTTGATATAGTTGCCAACGTCAGTGACGTTAGAAAGAAGAGCAGGCGATTTGAGTCGGGAGACGACAGAGAGAGCAGCACGGCAGGCAAGTGGGTTACCACCGAAAGTTGTTCCGTGGTCACCAATTCCTATTACGTCGGCTACACGGCTAGTGGCCATTATTGCTCCAATTGGAATGCCATTAGCAAGTGGTTTGGCCATTGTTACTATATCTGGATGACAGTTTTTGGGATAATATCCGTGGGCCCAAAGTTTACCAGTGCGACCGAGACCGCACTAAAAGCAATTATTGATCGATGAATATTAGTAGATGTAAATAATGACTTTGTAGTTAGAGTTCACCGAAAAAGAGTTTCGTTGTATACCAACCTGGATCTCATCGTAAATTAACAGAGCACCGACTTCATCACATCTGCTCCTCAAAGCACTCAAAAATTCAAAACTGGCCTCATAAATACCCCCTTCTCCTTGTACAGGCTCGACAATAACGCCACAGGTTCCTTCGTTAATGAACTCTCGAACCTTTTCAACGTCATTAAATGGTGCGTAGGTGCATCCAGGCACCATTGGAGCGAACGGAGCCTGATATTTTGGCTGCGGCGTAACGGATAGGGCACCCATAGAGCGACCATGGAAACTGTTTAAAAACGATACAAAGCCATACTTGTCTTGTCCAGGTTTAGCAACATGTTTACCCCATTTGCGGGCAAATTTCATAGCGCCTTCGTTAGCTTCAGTGCCGGAATTCGAAAAAAACACTTTGGCAGCATCAAATCCTCCGCTTTCTCTTGTTGAGTTTACTAGCAATTCAGCTAATTCTCCCGATTGTTGATTATGAAATAAATTGCTACTATGTATGAGTTTAAGCGCTTGATCGTATAAAACATGAGCTAGCTCCTGATCAGCATGGCCGAGTGCGCTAACCGCTATCCCGGCTGTAAAATCGAGATATCGTCGATTAGAGGTATCATATACGTAACTCCCTTTACCAGAAGTGATTATTATTGGTGGGCGTGCATAAGTATTTATGCAGTATTTCTCGTTACGAGCTAGGATCTCAGCAGCCGTTGTCGTCGTTGTTGCTGTTGCTGTTGCTGTTGCTGTTGTTGTCGTTGTCGTTGTTGCTGTTGCTGCAGCCGTGCTTTGATAACGCGAATGTACTCTATGCATAACATTACCACTAGCCACCATAGCTTTCTCACTGTTCAATAAACCACAACCAATACACCCTCCATAGTTTTTTAAATTCCAACCAGCGCGTAAGGTTACTGTTCGAAGCATTTTTAATTCACAAAGGTTTACGAGTCGTTTTCTAATTCCTAATTTATATTTACCCAAGATCAATTTTATTAAGAGATAATCTCATGCATACAATGACCGATTATCGCTGATGAGATGCTTCAGCTTGTCCATCTTTTGATAATAATTAACAAGATATCTCGTTTTGTGAATAGTTATACTAATTAAATAAAACCAAAGAACACAACCATTCCCTACAATAGGTCTGAATAATCTATCTCTATTACAAAGAAAATGCTCTCCCCTGTTTTATCTCGGCAAACAAATCGCAGGGGTTGATTACGAAGAACTTTCGACATGCTGAATTTTATAAACATATCGGCCTGCATAGTCGAAAAATTCGTAAAGTTGTTGAAGAAATCAAAAGCATAGACTAAATCAGGATTAAAGAAATGGGATTGACGTGTTTTAGCGTTAAGGAAGTGATGACGCCTTTTACTTGAACTGATTTTTGGTTTTTCAGGAAGAATCAGTTTAGCATCTTCTTCGAGATGATGACGGCCATAATATACCCAGGGACCTATGGGTAATAAAGGATCTTTTGTCCTTTCCGACTGTCGAGGACTCACATTTTCCGGGTTTACAGTTTTCTCATCTTGTATGAACTCATATTGAGAACCGTCTATGCCAACTCTCGTCGTTCCTAACTTTTCGTCTAGCTCGGCTTGCCAAGCGTTTATTACGTTCATGCCGCAGACAAGCCAACTTCCAGCCCAAGGACGTTTTTGCAAAAACATTCCATCTGCCGTAAAACCTGGATCAATATACCTTGCAAATTTTACGACAAGCGATGAGCCCGTTGGAGGACTGACGGCATTCTCAGTCTCTGCGCAAAATAGGACGTCATCATAACTCCACAAACCATCCTCATGCTTAGTATTTGACGATTTGAAACGTCCCTGAAACTGGAAAGAGAAGACCCTTCGATGATTCTCAAAGTACGACGATGTTTTAATGACTTCCGGGTCACCCTTACAGGTGAAGTTTTGAAGACGGACTGTTACATAGCCTGTGAAATGAGACGAATTGACGAAGGCAGGCCTCTTATCGTCGTTGACGGCGTACTTTTTGAGATTGTAATAATCTGGTCCTATTCTAACTGTTGGCATATTTTGTGTACTTATTACGGTATTACAGCACAGCTATTAGAAGAAGAGAAGTCTCTCAATACGTAGAGCAAATGTGATAAAAGAATGTGTAGGAAAGGACTTTAGAAACCAGCTAAAATCCTCGGCTTGAACGAAAGGGCTGTCGATGAATGAAAATGGGTTTCAGAATCTATTATTCACTAAACCTTGTGCCAGTGCCACAAATATTTGTCACCCACGTGCTTGTCTTTTCAATAGAACTACTTATAAGTCTAGTATATAACTATTAGTGTCTTCTGCACTGCACAAAGGATGCACAATCAAATAAATGCTGGGCTTGCATCAGCGTTTCAGCCCAAATAAATTTCAAGACTAACAGCCGATCACAGCGATCGGGGCACGCCCGCAAATGAGACTAAGGATTTTCAGGGCTGGCATTGTTTACGTCAAATTTATACATCGTTAGCCTATTAAAGTTATGTGATTTATGCGCACAGGTCATGGTCCATAAACATAGGCCTTTTGCATTTCGCCATTGGCAATAAGAATTCGATTTTTCGAACGTAGACATGACTATATGTATCATTATTATTATTCTTATTATAGAATGTGACAGCAAAACCCGATTTTAGTTTAAGCAGCGCCGTTTAAATTTAATATTAAATACACTATTTTTTCTTTACCATTACTTTTTTCGTACACCATAATTAACGTTGATTTCTTTACTTTACAATTTTTTCTAATCAATAATCCGTTAAAAATAAGCATAGCAAAGATTATAGTCTGTGAGCGTTTCTTATGCTGGCACAATTGTGATGAAGGAGTAACAATATAAATAACAATGAATTATCTTAGCATATTATTTTTATTGTAAATAAAACATCAAAGTGGTTGTATGGGAAGAAAAAAGTCCATCCCCAAAGTCATTTGAATAATAATAACATGGAACATGCTGCAACAAAACCAGACAAGTAAACATTTACCTATGTGAGTTAAAAATTGCCCAGTGTAAGTGTGGCTAAATTTTTTTTAACTTTGATTCAGTTTAGTGGCGTGGCTTATTATTATGTTATAAATTTATGGATAATTTTTGGTTGCATTAATGTGAGATAAACGTTTACTTGCGTTATCATTATAACAGCAATATATTTTATACATGTTTGCATTAGCACCCCCCCCCCCCCCCCCTCGTGAACTACCCCAGTATCACTATCACCACCAAAAAATGGCAGGGCATGTGTCTGTTATTGTAATTTTATTACTTATTATTATGGTCAGTTTCTTATTCTTCTTCCCAGCTCTGACCATAAATGCTCAATCAGGAGACTGGCTTGGCCAATCTGGAAAACATTGTGAGCATCCACTGCTTGACATTGTTTGCGGTATGGACTGGGGCATTGTCATCCTGAAACAGATACTCCTTGCTATTAAATTCGCTTTGTCAGAAACGTATCTCACATGTTGGGAATTGGTCGCACTCATTTGGAAAACGTCAGAAATCATCTAGCAACGAATGGTATAATACTGCGCATTCACGGTAACATCAAACGAGTACCGCGATGAAAAACCAAAATAACCATTGATATAACCGTTGCGACCGCCGTAAAGAATTTCTTGAAAACTATGCTGAAATTCATGGACTACCAAGTCCCGGTAGAAATGTCAATCGCATTACCCAATCACTTATACTATTACTAGCTGAAACGAGTTATAAATCAGTCTATCGCAATTTTATCGCAGGTCTTGAAAACGATAGCCCGTTGAAATTGTTAAAATATGACGCATTTTCACCACTTAACGCTTTATATTCAAATTATGAGTCCACGAACAGATTTATGTGATACCTGTCAACATTTTCGGAACGGCTTACAATACAATGCTCGCAAGGAAGAAGAAGCGAAAGATTTATTGAAAAAATTCAAAGAACATTTAGTTACTAAATAAGTCACAAAAATTTTCGAAAAAGACTGATAAATTTTGTTTCATTGTCGCAGTCCGGTAAAGTGGGAGTACACATGAATTTTCATATGTGTAGCATATTCCATTGCCTTTTAAACACAATAGCCTATTTGTGATCGACAATTGTTTCAACACATCCCCGGAAAAAAAATAATGGCGGTGCTCATCGATGCAATTTACAAAGATTAATTTTCTTAATAAAAAATATACCTGACACATAGCCTACAGTCTTTTATAACTGGTTTATTTGCTAAAATTTTAAATTAAAAATTTATTCTAAATTTTGTTGAAGTATAAGAAATCATCAAACATAAGCGGGTGCCTAAAACAGTTTAAACCAACTTTTGTAACCGTTTACTCTACAAGATTTACTTTAACAGTAGATTGCATCATACAATTTTTTTTTACGTTATGCTGTAATCTCATAATTATGTCTTGGTTTCTTGTATTCTGTGCACGGTTTCTTTAACTGCACCTTCTTCGTTAATAGTTTATGTAACTCAAATTTACTTGTAACAATCTTATTAATAATGATGATAATGCTAACTAATATCGTTTTTCAAGACCGATAAGAAATTCCGTTACTTAAAACAGTCAAATACCGATGCAAAATTGTCAATTCATTATTTTTATTATGTTTTTATCATAAGCAACCTCAGCAGGCAGGTTGGAAAGTAAGTCAAATAATACCTGTAGGCTGTCTAAAGCGGACTTGACACTTGGATAAATACAGTTAAAACATTAAAAAAACTACCGTTGCACGTATATGACCGCATCTACCATGCAAACCACCCTCTAAACAAAATACTACCTCCATTACAAACATTCCAATAACGAAATACATCAATCCTAAAATTCTCCAGACAACGGAATACCATACTAACACAAACACAGCGAAGAGTATCATAGACAACGTATGTGTTGAATGATTAGCGAAATTGTCGGTATTAATCTAACATTACAAAATTCTGTAGTTTCTACGAGGAGAAATGTACAGCAGGGGTAGGGGGGACACTTTTGTATTTAAAATATTGGAAAAGTTTTTTTTTTTTTCAAACCTCATATTTGATATTTTCTCCATTTGCAACTTAAATTGGTTGGGCATAAATATATCGAATTACGGTATACTTTCGCGAAAGCGCATTGCATTGTTCTTTTACAGATTATATTTTTCGGACTTCTTCTAATTAATAGTAGTAAGCTCTGGAATTGTTGTATGTTAATTTTTTATTATTTTTGCAATTGTTCTGTTCTTGGTTAGCTAGTTTTTATCGAAATTATGAGGGATAAGCTTTTAAACGAGACTAATTTATGCGCCAAAGCAGAAAATAAAAACGACATGCTGTATTAAGTAAACGTTGATATTTCATTTAGACAATTAATACAGTAAAAGGTCCAAAAAATAGGTTTTTTTTATTACATATGGGCCCCCAAAAACTAAAAAATTTACGCCAAGACAATTACTGTGCGATCAAAACAAGGTGGGCTAAAAAAATTATATATATTAAAATGACTTTTGGTTGAACATTTTTTACTAATATTATCTTACTCTACCATGGATATTTTCTCTACAAAACGGAGTGGTGCCCCATTAACCAATAATGAAAAGTTGATAATAATTAACGTTTTACAATTATTTTTCGGGGGCTAACTCTAAAAAGGAGGATCATCAGAAGGTCACACTACGCAAGCGTGTTGCTGAGGTGTTAGGCGTAGGGGAAAGTACAGTTGGAAGGGTAGTGTCAGACTGGAAGGGCCCTAGTGACAATAATTTTACACCGCACATGAATTTAATTTTACCCCTCCTTACCATTGCGAACTATAACCTATTGAAAGTGTTTGGTCAGTTGTGAAAGGTAAAGTTTTGAAGTTGCGCGCTCAGGTCCACATCCAAACCTTTTGTCTGTCAGAAATACACTACTGAATGCATTTAAAGAAAAATTTTCTTCAAAAGTTATTGTAGGACTTTGGCTTAAAAACGCTAAGGAATATGACGATTTTGATGCTTATAGTAGTTTCGATGATGATTACGTAATTTAACGTAATATTTATATCATACCTTTCCCAATACATTCTGACAATATTTATTAAAAAATTACATGATAAAATTTTTTTATCGATGCAATATCTGAGGTACCAATCTTTTTGCAACGGCCCATATAAAATTTTGTAAAAATAAAAGTGTGCAATACTTTCCCCCCCGTATGTCTTAAAGTCAGTACACAAATCCCGTTCTTCATCAGTACGTGCCAGGAATAATTACTCTACATCCCTTAGTACTTATTCCAGTGTTGCATTTCTTGGGGTCAGTGCAGCAACGTATACAGTACAATTGTGTGTCGGGCTCAATTAAATGTACAAACTTCTTGGCTCCAGCACAGGATGAACCAGGACGAGCCTTTGGATCATACTGGCCACCACCGTCGTCTGAACGCAAACCGTATTTGGAACTGTCAATTCTGCCCATTATTTGAACGTACCCCGGTCCAGTAGCGTGATTTATTGTCTTTATACAGTCTTTCGGAAGAATATTGGTATTAGGTGTGTTAGTAGTTGCCTTTGTGCAAAATGAAACCGCACTACTTTCGCTGGCGGCAATGTTGCCACCGCGTTTTCTTGGAAGAAGTAGACAAAAGACCGATTTGCTATCTATCGTAACGGTCGTTCCCAGACGAATGGGAGCGGCAAGAACCAAAGCAACAATTGCAAGGAGGACTGTAAGCTTCTTGTTGGTCATTCTTTTTTCGAAAGTAAAGAAATTTTAGAGAAAAAACAATTTAAGTAAATTTTCTAAAAGTAAAGATGGGCAGGTGCGTCTTCGTGAATATTCAATCTCGGTTCCCTGCAATGGGAGTTTTTTACGGTAGCATCGATTGTTTGTTTTTAAAAAAAATTTTAATATCAAAGCTTCTCTCCTAGTTTGAGACCCGAGAATGTGCACTTGAAGTTTACCCGCTGTTAGCAAAGGTGAAGTTTTACGTCGAACGCATTACCAGAGTATATATAGGCGATGAGTCAAGTGACTTTCTATGAGAATTACAAATTATTTAGAACAGGAGCGTGACCAGTTAAGACATTATTTGATTTCTCGAGTGAATAATCTCATCATTCAGCATTTACAAAAGCATTTTTAATTTGATCGCTAATTGTCCGCTATGCGAATACGGATTTTAATGTATGCTGTGACTTCGTAAAAATCAAGTCTAAATTGTATTGCGGCAGGCAATATAACGTCAAGTGACTTAAAAAAACTGTTAACTATATTTAGAATTTATGATCAAACAGTCATAATTAATGTACTAGAATTGGATGTTGCATTAATATTAAAATCAACCTCCTCCTTATTTGTTCAACTCTTCCCCTTTATTACGCAACGCAGTTTTTTTAATGGCTCTATTTTTAGCATAAATCATCTTAATGTTTACGAAATTCACGTTCAGTTGCTACAATAGTAAATGCTCGTATATAATACGAGCTACACCGAATTTGGACAATCCATAAAGCCACAAAAAACTATAATTTGAAAAAGGAAAAGTTGTTATAAGGGGGGAGCTACTTTATTAATAAAAAGCAGGGAAGATATAAACTGTTATTGTATGTAGGAATAAAGTGATGAACAAATGTCATCACTGAATATATACATAGCCGTTTGTCTAAAAAAGCAAATGTATGACGTTGTAAATACGCTTATTTTTTTCACCAAAAACAAAGATTTGCTTTCCTTTTATTCGGCACTGCGTAATGTTTCAATAAAGTGTCACTTGAATGACGATGGTATGCGAGTGGCTTTGACTTGGTTAGATAGAAACGTAAGGTTGATAAATGAACGTTTTATTAAATGGAAGACCATAACTACATTCTAAGTTCAACGCTGACAGCGTTGGTTAATGTCATGTTAAGTAAATACGGACATATAGTGTCATAATGCAGATGTTGTTTTAATTTTTTGTACATTTTGGTTTATAGGCATTTCGTAGGTTGTATCTAATATTGTCAAACTTCGCGTCAATGTCGATATTGCAACATACGTCATTTTTATCTCTATACTTTTGGCTACTAACATATTAATATTAAATGATAAGTTTTATATAAAATGGATTATGTAAGGCTTGATTCATCAGAATAAACAATCAGGTCAGGTGTGGGAAAAGCTTATTCTGTTGGCAGGAAAGCATAATAACGTTAAAACGTAGAAGGCTATTATGAATATGGTTAATAACGTTAGTCACACGGAGCCCAATCATTTAGTATATTAATAATAATTTGTGAGAACGATGTAGGTTAACAGTCACCTAACATTTCACACCAAGTACAAGTGCAAGTTCATGTTGACATGGATTTTTGCTTTGACAATATAAATAATATGATACCATCATCATTGTTAAGAGCAACAATTGTAATAATAAATAAACTTATGCATCATGTTAAGTTTATCATGTTACAGTGAACAAAAACATTTAGCATATTTCTTCAAAGTTGCACAGCATGTTGCAAATAAAATTTGGTTGTTGCGCCTAAATGAATGAATAAAATTTTGAATTTAAAGCTAGAAAGCAACAAAATTTATTGATCTATACTCAATTATCAATATGGTATACGTTCTCCATTATTAGCAACAATTAACTCACAACGTTCTTTCATTGATTCTACAAGATTATCAGAACAGTATCTGAAATATAAAATACTCACCCACTCTGGTTTTTACAAGGTTCAACTCCAGACTAATTATAATTACTATTGAATGACATAGACAATCCCATTTTTTCTGGATCATTAGCGGGAAGAAATGCCTTTGTGACACAACTGTATAAATTAGTTGATCCCATGGAGGCGGAGTCAGTACTAGGATGGAACAAGGTTTAATTTCCTTGGTAAATTTAGAAACAGTTGCATTTTTAATTTTCAACAAATTAAATTCATATAAGCGCCATTAGTATTGGCGGCCATTTGAGCTTTGACAAGTCCTGGATAAGCAGCTTCAAAAAAGAAATGCTGATACTTTTTAAACCATTTAATTTTGTAAAGAAAATACCTGACACAGAATTAAGGCTTAAGTGTCGAAAACCTTTCTCATTGTCACAACACTGAGCTTTGTTTAATCACGTTGTGCTTGATTTTTCACAACTTTAACAACATGATCCACACAATCTACTGTTGTCTTTCTATAGTAATAGAGCTTTTTAATCAGTCCGAGGCACCATAAAATTTAATTCGATGCTTTCATAATAATCGCAAATTACCAATACAGATAAAATCATTATTTTTATTCTGTCCTCCACAAGTAATCTTTAAATGCTTTTCGCTTTTATCCAATCCTCTTGATTCCATCGAATACCATATACCACTAGGGCCTTCCCTATAATTTCGTCTTTATCGAAAACATAATTAACTTGTTCGCGTACTGCTTTACCTTGGATACCAAATACTGTAAATGTACTTTACGCAGACTGAGTAATAAATTTTACTTCGGAATGGGGAGCGTAAACGTTTTGTAATTGTAATGGGCATTAGCATCAACCTACAATAATCAACTTTACCCTCCTGTTATAAATACTCATCTACCAATTTTCTCTGTTGTTCTGCTAATTTCGTATTTTGTTGTAATAATTTCCCTCCAACTCAAATACTTTTTAGTAAGTCTCTCGCTTCTTCCTTGCGAGCATTGTACTGTAAGCCAGTTCCGAAAGTGTTGGCATCTGTCACATAATTCGCTCATAATTTCAAACGTGCTATCGTTTTCAATGAAATCGTTCGGCTGGCAATAGTGTAAGCGATTGAGTAACGTGATTGACGTTTCTATCAGGGATTGGTAATCCATGAATTGCAGCATAGTTGTCGAGAAAATTCTTCACGACAGTAACAACAGTTATATCAATAATTATTTGTTTTCATTGCGGCACTTCTTTTACATTACCATAAACGCGTGCTATTATACCATTCCGTTGCCAGATGACTTCAAAGTGCGTGCGACCAATTCCTAGAATATTCTGTGGCAAAGAAGCGTATTGCAGTCTCCATAATAAAAAGTTCTTTTATTAATACGTGTTTTCGTTTAAGAGGTCGACTGGTCGGCTTTCAGTTGAGCCATTAAGAAAATATCTTGTTCAAGTCTAGAGTGCGTTTGAACGTCTTACGTAATTCCGCAAACCCTTCTCTCGAATTGCACCCATCTCCAAGAAATGTATTGCTTTTTCATATTCAGTCATCATTCAGTTTTGTAAAATTTATTAAAGAATACACATATACGAGATTACTCCTAATGTCCCTCCCAGCCATTTATTCCTCTGGCACTTTTTTTCTTTTTTTTTTCTGGAGAATCTTCTAATGCTCTTTCGAAGACTTTCTCTTTTTGATAGATTTCTTTATCCAAATAATTATTTTCTCGATATTAATATAATTGTCCACATGATTTTCTCGACCAATGATTGTGATTGATTATGATGACGTTATTGATCGCGTTCCCTAGTATTTACTTCGTCATGTCCTTTACCATACTTCACTTGATTCGACTGTCATTTTGCGAAACCATGTCTGCACCTAAAGTGGTATGGCGAAAAAACTTTTGGTTTTCGTGGGTGTAACATAATAATAATTATAATTTGTCCTAAAAGCAAGTACACAAGTATATTTGAGAGACCATCGTCGCAATGGAACATTACTGATGTAAACGCGCAACACCAACATTGGGCCTAAACCGAGATTGAATGTCAAAGAAGACGGAGTTGTTAAAAGCGCGCACAGGCATTTCCTTCCACCGATGTCTCCTGAATTCGAGACTCTGTTAGCATTTTGGATAAGGAGCGCAGGGCTAAAGGGAACATTATTACTCGGTATATGGTCCAAGTATTCGAGTAATGGAAGTGAAGATAGTCTAATCTCTGATTGTGACAGCGTTCTAGAAAGTACTGAAATGACGTCATAATTGTAGAGTAATACGCGATGGTAGAAAAGTGATTACAAATACGACATATTTGAGAATAATAATAATAACAATAAGTAGGTTAGATTTGGAATAAGTATGATAAACACTATGCACAGATTAAGTACCCCGGATTCTTTCCCAGAATGACGAGAAGTGACTAGTATAAAACCTGGCGCTAATAAAGGGGGTGCTAGAACCAGTGCTATATGGTAATTGAAAACAGTTGTAAGCTTGTTTTTCAGCCTATTCAACGCGTTTAACCTTTTAAGATGGTAGTAACATAGAAGTACCGGTTGGTAATTGGTTTTTGTAACCCAGTTCATTTAAACGCTGTATTTACATTCTATGAATATTATGAAGTTTTACAGCCAAGGGTTCTCAACTATTGAGTAGGATTTCTTCGAATAGAACTTGCTGCTGTAATCTTCTTTTGTTTCGTTTCCTTTTCCATGAGCTAACGTTCTATTTCTTTCAACTTTTTGATATTTATATATTTAATAGTGGATGGTGTTAGTTAATTTATGAATTTCTTGCGATTTGCACACGCATCCTCGTAACGATGCGTTTCTAGGCGTGATGGTGTCATTTTGAAGGGGTTTGCTATATGCAAGAATGGGGATGTTATCAAGAGAAAAACACCACTTTATATAGGTTGGTATTAAATTGCGTTTGTTTACAATTGTTGTCTAAATTGCGCATACGTTTGGTCAACTTTTTTCGCTACACAGTGCAAGTATTCCCTAGGCACTGTCAACTAACATACGGTACAATCATAAATGCCCTCTTCAACTAGAGTACAAGGAACATTCACATCATAAAAAGCAACTTGTCCGGTAAATAACGCTCGAAACTTTGTTTCCATTAGAAATTGTATACACGTACAGGTTAATATCTTGACGTTTAATGGTTGTTATTATTATTTTTAATATCTCTTCTAGGGTTTATTATTCGCTTCCTACAAACAAGGGTAAGCATGATCATAATATAGTGTACTAATACGTATTGCAGTGCACGTGACCAGGTTGACGATAGAACCTTGATCATGTGCGCAGATGAATTTATTGCAAATATTTGGAAAGCAATCAAAACACGAATGCTTTAATAATGATACAAGGTGTAAAAAAGACAGTTTGTCCTTCTTCCCTTCATATGAACAAAGTGTTCCAGAGGGAAGAATGCAACATCTAAAGGTAACCGTGAAAGAAAGAAAGGAGACAATGGGGTTTGTTGGAGACAGAATTAGATTTGGCTTTTAGAGAGAGGAAAGATTTACTGCATGAATGACATGCGGTTTCCATGTTTAAACCACGTGTATGTTGAACTATTACATATGAAAGCGTAATACGTCGAGTACAATGTGCGTAAACGTAATCGCTGTAGGCGCAATTTTGCGGTCAAACCTTTTTTCCTTACTAGCCAGAAGCAGGCAGTTTACAGATCATCGGCTTTGCCAATATATCGATCTCTCAGAACAATCTTTTGTATCATAGTATACGATAAATTGCACCAATGGATGCACTCGTTGAATGTATGAAGGCGTCTGAGCGTTTCGTACGCTCTTCCGATCTGTTTGAGTGTGCAATTGGGGGGATAGAGTTAGTTAACACTTGACTGGTATAGGTTACAGTGTACAACAAACTGACCAAGAAGTTCTTCGCATCAGAAAAAATGGGTAGGTTTTGCTTTTATCAAACCACGAGACTGGGTTTATAACTTTGAACTCCCAAGTACGGTGGGCGGCTAATCGAACATCCAATCCACATTCTAGTAGTAGAAATAGACATTATGTATTGAAAAAATTATCTCATGCAGTCGTCATGTGGAATTTATTTTTGTCTTATTAAAATAGACGGACACTGATTGATTGCTTGCATAAAACGTGTTGTCATAAAGATGACTATCGTTACTCACGCCGTAGTACTGTCCAAACGTGGTTAGTTGACATCGAATCAGAGTAACCATATAGAGATATTCTTGTGATTCTTTGCCTATAATAGAAATACGTCTGTTCTGAAATATTCCGACACGTTTAGGCTGGTAAACGGCTGGTAAACATTTCAAGAGAGGCTATTCTTACAATATATCTGGGGCACTGATAAAGTAATAAGAAAAAAGCAGCGCTCGATGAAACTTCATTTGAGATTAGGAATATTAGAAGAAAGCGTTTCTGTTGTTATCATTGGTTTTGGAGGGAGTCAAGAGGGGCTTGTTTACGGTTTTATTTTTTGTGGCATACATAAAAGAAGATTTGGGGGGTGGAAAAGAAAGACCCAATGCAATGGTTTGTTATGAACGGTATTGTATAGATTATGTTACGGGAGAGATGATCTCTCTTAATAGAGAACAATCGAGAACAATACTCTATGAATTTATATGAACTTATATATGTTGTATATATTACTACTGTTTACGTTAATACGAAGCGAAGGGGCGGGGGAAGGAGGGGACTATCCGAAGGGTTTTCTTTTCGCTTTTCCTGTCTCTCCTGATCCAATTCGGCTGATCAAAATTCGCGCCACACGTTGAATTCTATACCTTAATTGGCTTAATTAATTACGTTCTTTGCTTCTCCTCTATTTCCTAATGCTCTACTCCCCCATTCTTTTTTATGCGTGTTTCTCGCTTTGGCTGAACAGAGAGAGATAATGTATGAAGGGGCTGGTCAACGAACAGTTACCATTATTGCATGTATTTCATGTGATGTTATCACAAATTATAAACGTAAACGTTTCCAGTACAATAGAAAGCACAGCCCAATTTATATTAAGTCAATCAATAACACTAGTTTATGTTTATTAGACTATTTATGTTTCTTTTTTGCATTTATGCACTAAAGCGTGAAATGTATCAACGTCTTTTGAATCTTACCAATCGAACATTTATATCCATAATCATTTCTTCCTATTGTTGACTGTGATTCACCCTTGTCAGACCTCTCGCCCGTTGCGTAATATTTATACTACTGCCGTGTGGTAGTGTGTGGTAGGTAGTGTGTGGCAGTGTGTGTTGTGGTAGCCGTGTGTTGTGGTAGTGGTAGCCGTGTCGTAGTGGTAGTGGTAGTCGTAGTTGTGGTAGTTGTGTCGTTAACAGTATTAGTGTATGTATGGTATGGGTAGTTCCCGTTAATTTGCAGGTCGATTGGAGAGTAACCCAATGAACACTTGACAGTGTGTGTCAGAAAAAAAAAACTTGCTTTACCTCAGAAAGAAATCATCATCCATCATTATCATCCCATCATCTACTTTCGTCTACTTCAGGCAAGTATAACTTCTCTTGTATTGCCCATAAATAATAATACTGTACTATAATTTTTACATCTCTTATGATGAAACGTATAAATATAGATAAGAATGACTGGTCATATAAATACGTATAAATAAATGTTACTTAGGTTTATCTTTTTATCATTATACTTATTCCATCCAACCTTATACGTGTATATCTCTTCCTTCCCGTCCTCACTCTCACGTCTTTAGCTTCTGTGCCCGTTTTTTGTCTTGGGTGAGTCTTTCTTTGGCCCCAGCCTTTCCCGATTTACTTCCCAGCTGCTGTTTTCAATTACACTTGCGTACTCTTTTCAAGACTCACACTGTAACAACGCGTTTTGTTTGTTTGTTTTCCCCCCGGACCTCTCTGGTACATTCTTATTCACGTTAATCACGGTCTTTCGCGAACAACCTTCTCCCGATGAAGTCATATACTGCTATTTAAGTTTACTTCAAATCTCAAAGCTGCCCTTCTGCAGCTATATACGTCGTAAGCGTTTCTCCTGCTTGGCACTACCCAAACAAATCACTTACTTTTAGCCCTATTTATTCTCAACAGTTACCTAACCCCATTCTTTCTCAATCCTTTCTTCACTTTTATCGTGTTCTTGTTGTAATACTTTTATCATAGACCTGTTCCGTCCTCCGTTGATTCGGTTGCTTTATTATTATTATAGACATATTTTATATAGACGCAAATATTCTAACTAGATTGTTTCCTCAATTAATAATCAGCATACCACAAAAACGCCGCAGACTATGGACCATAGAGCAAACATGTTTTTACCTCCACTGAATACTTCTTCTGTTGGATTGGAAACGGTGGAAGAGAGTACAGATCGCCTCCAACGTCAGCGTCAGGCTCTGAACGGCGCCCTCTCGATGAGTTCGCCTCCCCTACATTCCTCTGTTGATAGCAGCCTAGAGCGTCTTAATGAAAGAAAATCTCCCACCCGGGATATGGAATCAAGTCATACTTCAAATTTATTAGCTGTTCTTGATTCCGACGGTGAACGAGCAATCCTGGTGAGTCTCGTTTTTTCGTGCTACACGATCATATCGAAATCAATCATATATTATAACTGCCCATTATTGCATATGACAGTTTCCCCAAAGATCAACGAAACCGAATTCTCCTTCGTCACAAGTTGATGTCGTAAGATTTATTGTCATATTTAATCAGATATTGCAGGAAATGTGATAACGGGATTTGTAACATGTCGTCTTTCTGATTTTAACTAGAAGCTTGAACAAAAACGTCTAGAACATGAAAGACAGCGGATGGAACAGCGGAAACTGTTTGAGGAACATATGAAAATTCTTGAGCTCCGACAGATGAGAGAAGAACAAGACTTGTTAAATCAACATCAGTCAGGCACGGCCAATAGTGCCCCAACAACCCCACCTGCTTCCTCGTATGATACTCGTGCTAGAGCTAACACTATGCCGAGGCTATCGTCTTCGGTTAACAGTTTTGTATCGGTTCCTAAAGTTGTCGGTGTTCGCCCGGCCGACACTCCATCATATAATGGACAACGTATATCATCACGTTCAGTGCCAACTTCGAGGCGGAATTCCGATGCACCCGAAAGATTAACTTGGCCAAATATAGAAAAGTTATCTTTGCAAGATAGAGATGATCAGGATACAGAGTACGTGCTCGATTTCTAAACTCTGACCAATTATCACTAGCCTATCCAGCCAATCTCGCGGCAGTTTTTATTATGCTTTTGCGATAATCTAACTTTTATAAATCGTAATATTGTAGTAGCAGAAAGGAAATACTTCGTCCGTCTTTTGCAAGATCATTTAATCGCATTGATGAAATAGCTAGGAATCAAACTTCTCCAACCGATGTTTCCACATTCCCCCAGTTTAATGATAAATTTTTGTACGATGACGATAGTGAAACCGCATCGACTTCGAATCAGCGAACGTCTTCGTACGTGCACAAGTATTTGCAAATGAACACCAATGATGACAAGTTTCCGATATTGGTTCGTCGCGATAGTCATCCTGGAATGGTATGTCGTATCATTGATTACCATTAAATGCTCAGATTGCTGGATCATTAAAGATTATTTCTTACATTGTTAGCTATCGGCATCATCAACTGCACTTGATCTGGCATCCCTAACTCCAACTTCGAGTGACCGAAAGTCGGACGGTGCATCTTCAAAATCTATTCCGAGGCTCATGAATTCGTACTCTGCACCAAATCTTCAATCAACTGGTCGTTATGCGCGTCGTTCGAGTGGATATCCTAGCATGCCGGATATTCTGGAAGTTGAGAATAACTCTGTGCCCAGTTTGAATGAGATGGGATCAAATAACGTGTGTCGTTTCTATCAGCAAGGATGGTGTGCCCGCGGAGACAGATGTCAGTACGCGCACACTCACGGCTTTGGAGGAATGACTCCCGTCAATGTAAATCTCGCACAAATGGCCTTTCCAGGCGTTGTGCCATCACTAAACACAGCCGCATTCTATGGTCAATATGGGATGAATCCGATGGGGATAATTCCTGCGGCTGCGGCCGCAGCCGCAGCCGCAGCATACAATCAAAATATCGCCACGTTGAATGCGGCCATTAACGCCAACAATGCGAGGATTATGCAACCATCTACTGTCAGTATGAAGATGAATCAAAAAAGAATGAACAATGAACTTGAAAGTGAGTATTAACACGTGTTGTCTTTAATTTCTTCATGACAATTTATCTCGAACTTTTTTTGTAGCAACGAACAAATTTGCTGGTGTGGTTTTGGACGACTTGGTGGGAGAAATTTATTCTCTTTGCAAGGATCAGCATGGTTGCAGATATCTACAAAAAAAGCTGGAGGAGAAAAATGAAAGATACATTAATATGATTTTCAACGAAGTATCCAATCATTTCGTTGAGTTGATGACAGGTTGGTTGGTTAATCGATTCTGCTATTCGAATTATAATCATCATCTAATTGCAACATTGACACTTGCCAGATCCATTTGGTAACTATCTTTGTCAGAAGCTATTGGAATGCTGCAGTGACGAACAACGCACTATAATTGTTAAAACCGTTGCACCAGAGCTAGTTAATATTTCTTTGAATATGCACGGCACTCGTGCAGTTCAGAAGATGATCGAATTCTTAAATACACCGCAGCAGGTTTGTAGATTTTGTCCAAGCTTGCTGAAATTAGCATTGCGTAACACATACTGACACATTGCTTCAGATTGAAATGGTGATTATGGCATTAAATCTAAACGTTGTCCCGTTGATCAAAGATCTTAACGGTAATCACGTGATTCAAAAGTGTTTGAATCGGCTGAGTCCAGAAGACAACCAATTTATTTACAATGCAGTTAGCAAACACTGCGTTGAAGTGTCCACACATCGGCATGGATGCTGCGTCTTACAGCGATGTATCGATCACGCTAGTGAGTCTCAGAAAATGCAGCTTGTTACAGAAATAACATACCACGCACTTAACTTGGTGCAAGATCCGTTTGGCAATTACGTCGTTCAATATGTTCTGGATTTAAAAGACAATCGGTTCACAGACGCATTAATTAGACGTTTTGTTGGAAATGTGTGTTTGCTATCAGTGCAAAAGTTCAGTTCAAACGTGATGGAAAAGGTAAGCAATGTTGGTAGAGAGAGAAGGAAAACTCGAGTGATTTTACATATACGTTTATTTGTAGTGTATTAGAGTCGCACAACCGGAGACGCGAAGACTTCTTGTGGAAGAGATGCTTAACAAAAGCCGTCTTGAGAAACTTTTGAAAGATTGCTATGCCAATTATGTTGTGCAGACATCTTTGGATTACGCAGACCCCGCACAACGTGCTGAACTGGTGGATTGCATTCGCCCGTTGTTACCCGCCGTTCGTAATACGCCTTATGGTAAACGCATTCAAGGAAAACTGCATCGGGATCAACAAATGCAAGCTATGAATTCTATCAATATGAACAATATGCTCGGTTTCCCATTTAATGGGCTGAGTCAGTTCGGAAATATGGGCGTCATTGGGTTGAATGAATTTACACAGAATTATCACCCTTACATGTAAAAACATTTTGCAACATTATTTGTTACACATTAGTTTTGGAGGGGATTGTGAATAGAAAGAGCGAGCGTAGTATTAGAGTTTTCTGCATTTGATATATTGTATTTTTGTTTGATTTCGTTTTTGGCGAGAAGATGCTGTAGACTCGCAAGGTGGGGGGAAGATTAGACATATGTATGGGCGAAGGTGTTTCACATTTTATGTAAAAATAGCTCTTGTAAGTGATTTGTTACATTATTCCATCGTGCAAACCTAAACTTTACTCGTGCATTTTATCCTTTGTTGTAAACTTTTTTTTATTCAATTGTATTTTTGTTTTATCTTTCTTTTTTTTTTTTTACGGTAACTAGTCTGTAACATCGATTTCTCATTCTTTAACCTGACCCTGGTAGAGAAGGCGGGAGGTTCATTATATTTTCTCGAACGATGCTTTCACCCCGATCAGAAAATCATTTGTATTTGTAAAAATAGCATTTCTCAAATTTTCGAATTGACTTCCTCTCCTTACTTTTTTACTTGTGTCAGGTTATTCTTTGTACTTTATTTTTTTCTTTTATAGTTAGGTTTTTGTACGCTTTATTGTCTTCATATTTTTCAATGGAAATTTGATTTGCTTAAAACATTTTTGCTTGATCAACCACTGGCTGCTACTCTTGTAACTGGCATCTCTTGTTACAATATCCAAACATGTTATGTGAATTGGTGGTGTATCGAATCAATAAAGAAAAAGATTATTTCAGAAATGACTGCGTCCTAGCTGGCACATGTATTCAAGCCTAACAAAGTATTATCTGCTTTATTCAAAAGAAATCATAGTTATTATACGATGGCCATTGGCTCGGTTAAGGATTTAGCTAAACCCAAAGGTGACATTTAGACCAGACGTTGCCCACTTGCGCGATCCTAAATCGTCGCGTACACTAATCCTCGACGTTAGTTATGCTCGTGTATTAAAACGATTCTCTATCAATGGATTAATTCGGTAGTAGAACAGTAATGTGTTGATTATCTTGAATGCACGCAGTTAATCGCTGGACAGTAATACGATCAACTGTACGGATTCGCGATTTCACAAATATAACGGATTATTGAGGGATAGGTTTACGAAGGACGCTCGTTTGTTAATGAAAATATGATATGATAATAAGAAATCGAACGTCCAACACACCGATGCCAAGTCAAATCTACGTTACTTTTATAACTTTTGAGCTATCTAATTAAACTATTCTAACATTGATACAATTATACCGTTTATTGTCTTGTGTAATTGTCCTGCAACAATGTCTACAATCGCGAAATTGTTTGTCAACAGCTACCAATATCCCAATTTATACGTTTGATTAGTATACATATCTTCTGAGGTTGGGAGTGAGCGTACTTTGCCCGTAGCCTCAATAGGCTGGAAGTTCGTATGCGGTGGGTTCCCAACAAGCGAAAGAAAACTGTTTAAATTGTCACGTGAGCATTTAAATTACTGCTTTTTTTTTTTCATTATTGTAATTGAAAAAGCGGAAATTAATTATTAAAAAATAGTATAATTGAATAAGGTGGTGTTTTCCGACGAAACAAATATTTTGCAATACCATGTTTGCATAGTTGCACGAAACCCCCCTTTCCCGCGTTCAGCCCATAACAAAACCCCTTTCAAAAGCTCACATTTAGGCTGCAATCAGCATTAAAGGAGTAGCAAGATCCATATACGCACGTATTTACAAAAAATTTAAATCGTTGCTTGTATCAATGATTAGCATTCAGATAACTTGTTGGGTCATTGGTTTATTTAGCAAGATAATGACACAGAACGCACTTCCTATGACGTTCAGAGTGACTTGAAAAATTTGGTTTCAGCGGCGCGTTTCGAAAAATCTCAACAAGAAAAGCGTGGTACAAAAAAAAGAAGATTTTCAACCGTCTTTATAGACATAGTTAAAGAGGAATGGGAGATCTCGAAAAAGGCATCATAGTTAGCAGTATTAGTAGCATGAAAAATCGGATTCAAAGCTAAAAAGAAGCACATGCCAAATATTGAATAATTAATAAATTTTGTAACCATAGCAATAATGCAATAAATAGAATGTTAATAATTTTTCTCTTTATGTATGAATTCGCCTATTTGGTGTCCAAATCTACCGAGTGCACTATATTTTTAGCACTCTAAATGTAAAGAGATTATTTGCTTGTGGTGAGATCTTCAGTAGTAATAACTGCAGCATGTTTTAGTCAACCGTTGATTGAATCTTTCTTTCCAGAAATCAGCTAATAATTTTGAAAAATTATTATTAATAAAATTAATCAAGAGTATGCAAAAGTCCACATATCGCTTACTATTTATTTTCAACATGACAGGAAATAATGCTAACAGTGCATACTCTCTGTAAAATTAGATATAGATAGTCTGGGTGGTGAAAAGCCGATATGAATATAAATATCATGAGGTAAATGTCTTTACTCATACTTAGCTAATATACATGGCAATAAACTTTTGAAAAGATTGTCAGGAAGAAATCTTACCAAGTTATCTTAATTCTAATAACGACTTCAATACCGAACGACTAGCTCGGTTCAGTTAGAAGAAATCTCGGAAACAGCTTTCGGTCATGCGAAACAAGCACCAGAAATGCACACGACATTGGAAAATATTTTGCGTTTGTGGATTGCCGAATCTGTTTAAGCGCATCGTTATTTATTTATATCGGTAACGTTTCCGACAAAACTGTTAATACGGTCGATCGTAAGTTTGGTTAATGGTCTACTTTCATAATGGACTTTGAAACTCTATTTACTGAACAGTCGTTCAGATCTCCCCTTTCCCACTTAGAAGGAATAGCCCTTGCTTATATTGAGTTAATTCCAAACACATTATTAGTAGTTTGGTGAGCAACACTTGTTAAAGGTAGAACGCGAAATTAAGAATAACAATATTAATATACGTAGTAGTAAATTAACTTGCAGCCGTTGCGCTCAGTAATTTTGTCTCTCAAAATGTTTCCGTAACGTTAAGTTTATTTTTCTATTTTTGCTGTTGTATATCCCTTGTAGTGCTACTTCTCAACGCCTAAACGGAACCGCATAAATTGCTGAAATAGAAATACAGAAATTTAGGAAACGATGTTTGTACGGTGAGTAATATGCTTACACTACGTAAGTTTTAAGACAGGCGTAAGGACTTTGAGTGCGTGAAGCAAGGTCGAGTGCCAGACAATTCTCAATCAACCATAGCGGATTAATGATGTTTTCAAGAGATGGTAATAATCGCAATTACAATCAGATTTCCATTTCATTCGTGTGTTTGTTTTTATTAAAAATGTTACATTTATTGTTGGAATTTTCAATGCATTGAAAAAAAATAATATCTTCAGTAGCAAGACATTTTTAATAACCATTCTTTTCATTGTAATCAATGATCTTATGGTTGCACGGCACATTCTGCATATCGATTAATATGGTGTGATCTTCATCAATTATACACAAATTTCGGACTCAATAATAAAAGTGTTGCTTTTGACATTAAAAGCTACAAGGTAGACAGAACTCTGTAATAGTTGACCTGTACTAAGCATTACGTGAACACTGTCTAAGCTCGATCCACTGGCAACGGTAAAATAACAATAAGCAAGCATCATATGACTAACCGACAATGTGAATGTCGTACAAAGGGATGGCCTGATTCACTTACAATGATGGAAACATCAGAGCCGATATCAGCTGTTAAATTAGTTCCAATGAAATATTACTACAAGCGGATCGAATAGTTACTTTTAGCAAACAAAACTGGTTTACCACTATCTGATATGCTATCGCTGTGTCACTGCGCCACTGCGCCGCTAGTACCCGTGCAATGTTCGCTGTCGCTATCACAGCACATTTCGGTTTCCCGAAACAGAAATTTTGCGTGGCTGCTGGAATCGCTTTAATCGCTTGGGAGGCAAATTGCAACAACTATAGGAAAGGCTTTACTTACAATCTGTGCTGTATGTGTGGGTAAATATAAACAGTCGCATGCATATTAAATAATAATAGAAATATTTAGAAGGATTATTGTATACAGTATATTAAAGTGGTAAATGTAAACACGCAAACAGCAGACCTAATGCAATCGACTTGCCATACAGTTATTGTTGGTAATTCACAAAACAAAATTTCAATAATTGACGTTAATATTAATAATGCTCATATATGTTACGAGCCTAAAGAGTCTTTAACAAATAATTTAGCCTTTTGACATTATAATTATATTTCTGTCTAAATGTTACTTCCAAGAGAACAATATTGATACAGTTATATACCGACTCTTGCCTCTCTCTCTAAGACGTCTGTGTTATACTAGAATTACAAAGCTGGTGACTGGCTGAAGGGGTCACATTACCAGCCCTTTCGCATGTCATCCGCCCTAGTTTATAGTTATTATCATGCCATAAATTAAGTATAAATAAGTGGCTTGTTATGCCCATCCTAATTTTTTAATTTATTGTCAGTCATCAGATGCACAATGCTCCATGAGCAGAACGGCGCCGATATAAATAAATGGACACGTAACATGACGTGATCCGACATATTAATATTGGCTGAGAGTGCGAATTTGAATACATTATATTGGTCTGAAAGATAATCATGTGATTGCTAACATATGCTGTACGACCATAAAGCACCGAAAAAAAAGTCTGAATTATCGACTATAATCTCCCATTGGAATGTTGGCAAATACTGTCTCACGTGTTTCAACTACTCCATCTGATGCGAAAATTCATCGAAAAAGAGCAGGTTTTTTTGGCACTCTTCAAGCATGTTACGCACACGCACTGCTAACTGTGTACGTCAAAACGTCCTTAACGCTGTATGTCGGCGATATGCATCAAATGCGTCCGCTTTATCAGTCACTAACCTCCAGAGTCGCTGGAAATCGCTGACTGAAAACGAACGAACCAGTATCACGGACCAACTTCGTGAGCGCCAGAAAGGAGATTGGAAAGATCTCTCATTGGAGGAAAAGAAAGCCGGTAAGTCATTTATGCGTACGTTGTTTCCAGCATGTAAGTTTTTTATAACCGACTCGCCGAGTAAATATTAAACAATTGCCTCAAAACATATTTTAGCTTACTTTGTTGCTTTTGGACCCTATGGTCCCCGAGAACCTTTCTTGAAAACAGGTCACGGACGTAAAGTAATTCTTGGCATATGTATTGCCATTGGTGTCAGCACTGGATTATATGTTGTTAGTCGTGCCGTTGGTATGTATTTTGGATCACGAATCGGGGGGAGGGTTTCCCAAAGTCTACAACATCTACTAATTTTTTGTTTGTCACAAGTTTCCGCAAAACCAAAGACACTGACCAAAGAATGGGAAGAAGCAACCAACGAGTGGGCGAAGGAAAACAAGATCAATCCTATTACTGGTATTTCTTCCGAAAATTACAGTGGACCCGGTTATGTGCAGTCAAAATAGACATTGACAAAAAACATTTAGTCGAGGCTAAATTAGCCATTTTTCTTATAAATGAAAACTGTTACTATTACGTCGCGCGTCGTTTGCATACAGTATTTTGAGCAGTAAGTGGTAAGATTGAGTAGACTACGTTGTGCTCATATAGTAATAATAAGCATGGATTGAAAAGGCTTCAATTCTATTGGATATCATCATTTCAAGACTTTCTAATCTGAGGATAAACTTCATCAAAAAGAATAAAGATTTTACGAGACTGTATGTTTTACATAGTAACAGTTTTGTTAACGAGTTCTCTCTTTCTGAGTCAAGGATCCCATGACCTGTACTTTCCATGTGGATTGAAACATCACGATACAAATTAGGATAAAAGTCTATTAAATTAGACTTCACACTTTGTAATTTATGACGTCACATTTAGATTCTACATGCAAAAGTACTGCGGCATACACATTCATAATGCTAAGAGATACGGTGACGAAGTCAACACGTAAAAACTTTGACACTTAATCTTAATACACTTTGCAACTATGTCCGACGAGAAAACTGACATCGAAATTGTAATTGACGCCAAGTCTTTTAATAAGAGAGCACGAAGCATATTATCAGCTTTGAAGGTAAGTTTAAGAAATTCCTCCCTCCCCCTTTACTGGTGATTTGGGATTCTCGTGTCATTTCTTCGTTTTCTTGTTCAATCGACGCGTGTTCCAGTATTTCAACGAAACGTGTCTCACAACGACGAATTGGACTTTGTACGGACGCATGGAATGCTTCCATATTCACTGAAATACCAGACAGACTACTCAAGATGTCTTGATTTTCTAGGCACAGCATAAGAGCGAAGCAGAAAATCTGTTTCAGAGTGCAGACGTAATCCTCATAGTCATAGGTAACTTGAGTGACGCTAACCCCTATCAAAAATCGTCTGCTATTCAGGTAACTTGTCAAGCGTGCATCACTATGCGTTAGTTATGTTTGCGCCAACACTCATTTCATTTATGGTCCTGTAGCAATGGCTATTTGGTGACGAATGTAATGACATGCTCATTCTCATTACGCATGATACATTTCACATAATAACCGGAGAGTCTAATGGTATATACCCTTGATCGATCTAGTTGTGATGTCTTTCCACTGAACTGCCTAATACCAACCTGTTAAATCGTTGTACAGTTGCTCGTTTGGAAGAACTCAAACAAACAGAGAAATCTATACCTATTGAGATTTATGCACGCTCGAAAAATTCAGAGAATGATCGGACACTTTTTGAGAATGTTGTCAACATTATCGAGTCAACCGAAGAGGTAATAGTTTAGCTGAACCAACTATAATGAATGCAAAATTTTGTGTCTAAAATTTATTTGTTTCCTAGAAACGCGTTGGAATCTTGCCAAAAGATAAATTTTCAGGGACATTTGTTCAAGATTGGCAAGCAGTTTACGACTCTAACAAAAGCAACTTTCATGAAGTAGACGTAAGCCTGGGGCTAGCAACCCTTCTTGCCACAAAAGATGAAGAAGAGCAGGTGTGTCTATATATATATATATATTATCTGCAAATAGCTTTCATCAGGCTAATTGTAAATTTCAACATTTTCAAGAACGCAATGCGTTCAGCTTGTAAAGTTACATCAGTTTTCATGAAACGAGCTATTGAAATGCTATCGGGAACCATTGACGATGATAGAAAGATGACACACGAAAAGCTTACAGAGGACATTGATAACATTATCAGTGACGCAAAAGTCTGGAAAGAGCACCGATCAGTATTACAAAATGTAATAACTGCAGTTATTGTTTATAGAGGCATTCCAGATTTTTTGTTTAATACGTCAACGCATAGTAAAATGTTTACCTCTCTGTTCTAGATTGATGCAAACCGGATGGAATGGTGCTATCAACCGATCATTCAAAGTGGTGGTGTCTACGATCTTCGACCTTCAGCCAGTTCAAATTCCAATATATTGCACTCAGGCACTATACTTTGCTCGTTAGGCGTAAGATACAAATCTTACTGTTCTAATATTGGACGCACCATCATTATCGAGCCAAATAAGGTAACGTAAAATCGAACGTTTTTGCCGTATGACAGAGTAACAAAGTTCCATTAACCATGTCGTCGTTCATAATAATAGGAACAAGAGAACAACTATAATTTTCTCTTAGAGTTACAGCGCCGAATTTTGTCAACAATAAGAGATGGAGTAAAAATTCGGGACGTTTATAACAAAGCTTTAGTATACGTCCGAAATAAACGGCCGGATCTCGTAAAGCATTTTGTCAAAAATATCGGATCTAGCGTATGTTAGCACCTGATTTCCTGACGCTACTCATTAATAAATGGCGCTATTCGCGCTGGCTAACTACTTTAACTGATATTTTTGTAGATTGGGATAGAATTTCGTGAATCTCAATATCTATTAAACGCTAAGAATACGCAGGAGTTGAAGAACGGAATGATACTGAACTTGTCTATTGGCTTTCAAGACCTATCCAATCCAGAGGCAAATGATGAAGAAAGCAAGATGTAAAATACTATTAGTTATAATGGACATTGTGACTACGAATGCAAACACTGACCTGACTATTCCTGTTGATTTCTTGCAGATATGCACTGTTACTTATAGATACAATCAAGGTTACGAATGATACACCTGTCATGTTAACAGATGTAAAAAAGAAGCTAAATGACGTTTGTTATTATTTTAGTGTGAGTGTTCTATTACGACTGGGTTAAATTTGGATCAGGATTGAACCATCGCAGGGACAGTGTTTGGTATTTATCAGATTGTTTGGATTGACATTGCCATATTCTTTAATGATTATAGGATGATGAAGCCAAGGAACAAAATGACACCAAGGATAATCCAAAACCTAAACGGCCAGAACCTAAAAAACCACAAAAAAGTGCTGTGTTGAAAACCAAGTTTCGTAGTGAGGAACAGGTGTGACATTATTTGAGTTTAGTTTGAAAAAGTCATCGACCATCGGTATCAATATTAATGAAATTTATGCAGGGAGAGGAGACACCGGAACAAAGACGTAAACGACATCAAAAGGAGTTGGCTATTCAGAAACAAGCAGAGGGGATCGCCAGGTTTGCTGACGGTGTCGATCAGCAGTCTAATCAACGGCAAGCCGTCTTTCGTAAATTTGAAAGTTACAAAAGAGATACTGCTTTACCCAAAGAAGTTAAAGATCTGAAGGCAAGTCGATTTAGATTTAAGACAACATATTAAGTTATATTTACAGGCAGAACAGTGTAATGGCCAACTAAATGACTTGCGATTGCAGATTGTTGTTGATTTAAAGAACGAGACGATTGTATTACCTATCTTTGGATTTGCTGTACCCTTCCATATTTCGACATTGAAGAATGCGACCAAGACTGAAGAAGGCGAATACGTCTATCTTCGTCTCAACTTTCTTACGCCTGGGCAAGCAACGGGCAAAAAAGAGGATATGGTAGGTTTATCGACCCAGTAAAGGTGTTTACAGAGTTATTTGAGACATGCTGTAATGGTTTATTGTTGTTGGGTTTTTTTTTTTGGGAACGCTCAGCCATTCGATGATCCCAACGCCAATTTTGTAAGAGCTGTCACATATCGAAGCACTGATCTGTATTTATCAGAAATATACAAGAAGATTCTTGAACTTAAAAAGGCTGCGACCAAAAAGTGTGTATTAGAATTGGTGATGTGACGCGTTGACAACATGAACGAAAGCTTACGTTGCTGTATTTAGGGAAGTTGAACGAAAGGAGATGGCAGACATAATAGAACAAGATAAACTGGCGGAAGTTAAGGGTAAGCGAGCATTTTGTATGGTGAACGCGTTTTTGATGGAGGTCTTTAATATTATACATTATACAGGTCGTAGACCACAGCGACTGTCTGAGGTGTATGCTAGACCAGTGATGGAAGGGAAACGCAATGTTGGTGAGCTCGAGATACACCAAAATGGTTTAAGATATCAATCAAGCCGGAGCTCACAAAAGATAGGTCAGTTGACATGTATTTGCCCAAGATCGCTTCTGCACATTGTAATAACGTGTTGATAAATTTTTAGATATACTTTTTGGCAACATTAAGCATTTATTTTTTCAACCTTGTGACAATGAACTTATTGTCATACTACATATACATCTAAGGAATCCTATAATTATTGGCAAGAAAAAGACGAAAGTATGTCTAATCGACAATGTCATCTCAATCTGATGTATTTCTACTGACATTTTAATGTCCATAGGACATACAATTCTATCGTGAGGCAGCTGATGTACAGTTTGACGAAACCACTAATCGTAAACGAAGGTATAGATATGGGGACGAAGATGAACTCGGAGCCGAACAGGAAGAGCGTAGAAGACGTGCGCTCCTTAATAAAGAATTTAAAATGTTTGCTGAGAAGATTGCCGAGGCAGTAAGTATGCGTGCACTACATATGATTGTTATTAATAGGACTAAGTCCCCTTTTATTGCATAGAGCGAAGGGCGTGTAGAGGTTGACATCCCATTCCGAGAGCTCGGATTTAGCGGAGTTCCTTTCAGAACCAACGTCCTATTGCAGCCAACGCTCGAGTGTTTGGTCCATCTGACTGACCCTCCGTTTTTGGTAATAACAATTGCTGACATCGAGGTCGCACATTTGGAACGTGTACAGGTAAGTAACGCTTGAGATTTTATAATAACAATTATTCAGAAATGCTAAATGATTGCCTATATTATTTAGTACGGCCTACGGAACTTTGATATGGTCTTTGTATTCAAAGACTACTCACGAACTCCGGTACATATTAACACCATCCCGATGGAACAACTAGAAAATGTCAAGGAATGGTTAGAGTATGTATGGTTTGCAGTACTCGACTTATCGATCGAGTTTTTCCCTTTATTAATTAACTCTCAATATTAGTAACGTTGACGTGTCGTTTACGGAAGGGTCAGTAAATCTCGACTGGTCAAAAATCATGAGAACTATAAACGCTGATCCCGCCGGATTTTTCAAAGGAAAAGGCTGGGCATTCCTCCAGCCAGATAGTGAGGTAAGTCGTTAAAAACTTTAAGTTTCAAGAGCGAATGCTACTTTTACTAGGTTGTGCGGACTGAATACATTTTTTTGTGTTCCAGGATGAAGGTTCAGACGTGTCTTCCGATGATGCCAGTGAATTTATGCCGAGTGACGATGACTATGGTGACAGCTCTGTGAGTGAATAATACAAAATTGATATAAGCTGTGTTTTTCTTTGATAAAGGGACAAAGCTTACTAATATTCTGTCTCTCAGAGTGACGAGAGTAGTTATGATGAGGAAGCCTCGGAGGCTTCTGTTGAAACAGAAAGTAGTGATTCAGCTCCTGATTGGGATGAACTTGAGGAAAAGGCCCGAAGAGGTATATATTCGAATTGCTCTTACGTTATGGCGTCGGTTCATGTCTGACTATTTTATTCCATAGCTGATGAACGCAAACAAGGAATTAAGAGAAAAGAAGACCAAAATCCCGATAGAGGAAACTCAAAGAAATATAGACGTTGACTTGATACAGTCCCGGCGAAAGTAATGGTTGCCAGTTTTTTGAGCGAATAAAAATTTTAATGAAAGCCAAATATTATTGTGGCTACGAGTTTATTAATTGCTCAATATTTGGTATGATTTCATTCAGAGAGCATCATCACAGGCTTGAACCCGATTTTTCATACGATTGATACCGTTGACTTTTCGAGAATATCTCTAAAAACGGAATGAGAAATTTTCTTTTTTTTTTCCCGCCATCCATTTTTTTTTGTCCGCCATCCATTTTTTTTTTGTTTTCAGCATCATGTCCAAACATTTTATGCTGTGGCCTGTAAGAAGAACGCGTCGTGGGGATACCTAATCAAGTTATCGGCATTATAAATGATTGGCGAATATTAACATGCACTCTGGGCTGTGATTAATATTAATAATTAAGGGGAAAATCAAATGTGAGCTTTAATTCCTTTTCGACTGACCACGTGCGGGGTTGTATTACAATTCAGAGAAAACTACTTAGTAATGCGAGGGATTATTATTATGGCCTTGAAAATCTTCCTCCACCCTTGAGTTGCACTTTTACAATCTTAACAATACGCAATAAGACAAACTTTTATGAGAATATATATATATTATATATGTTGACTATTAATATTGACAAATAAAATTAGGGGTACTTCGCACTTTGCTCGGGGGGTACTCTAGTCAGAGAAATACGGTAAATAGAGATAGGTGAAAATATTGTACGTTGTGTCTGCTTTCACAGGTTTTATTATAAACGTTATTGGTATGCCTGAAATAAACTCAATTTCTATCAGGCAAGTGAGTAACAGACAGATGGTGAATTTCTCAATCGTGGGCTAAAGCGGTGGTCAAATTTGTATGCCAACCAGTGTAATTGCAACAAAAACTGCTTCGCTTTAGCCTACAATAAAGACAGAATATTCAATCGTCTTGTGGATATCCAATGTAAATGTAATGGCAAAAGTTTCGTTTTCGATAGATCGGTAAGTACCTAATTTAGGGATGGATCAGCAATTCATGCGCGCAAAAATTTTTATTAGGGGGAGAGAAACTTTTTGTACATGTGGAAGGGAGACGCGTAATCGAAGAGTTCTTCGAGGTTGACTCGAATTGGTCGTTGATTACATTCCTTCAATATAGAGAAGGAACCGATAGGCTTACGTACGGCAAAAGAAGGGAACATAAACTATACGCGAAAGCTTTAGACGCGTTATCCAAAGACCACGTTCTTGCTCAAGAATGCCTTGCTAATTTTGAGGTCCAGTATATTATTATTATTATTATTATTTGATGGTGGGTTCAAGAGCTAGAGTATGTTCCGGTCCTCCGAGCATTACGGACACGTTGGCCGTGACATATTGACTACCCCCCGAGTAGCCAGCTACCGCGCCCTGGCTGGTGAGAGTGAACATTAGTCTTCCCTCGGGCGTTCTTGAATAGACTGTAGTCGCTGCCATAACGCAACCAGATGCCTGCGTACCAACTGGTTGTCAGCTAACCCCGTGTTATGGTTCATCATCTTTTGTTTGATTACATGTGTTATATACTAGTTGCGAAAGACTGTCATTTGATTTTATGTTAATATGTTTTTGCCAACAAAAAGAACGAAAATCCTTCGAAGCTGTCGATGTGTTTTGGACAAGAATCAAAAAAAAGCGTTACAAAGATTCAATCGCTATGGCAAGGGTGGGTAGTGGCGCTATAGTTTTTAGGTTGAATAAAGCTAATAATTATGACTCTTTTACAAGGCAAGAATATTACATATTTCGAAGCAACAAATAAGAGCCAGCAATATGTCACAAATATTCAACATGACAACCTCGTAACAGTAGACAAGTAAGTGTCATGTACTGTCACTGCTCAATTATTTGTCAAAGATTTAGTAATTTATTCGATATCACTCAGGACAAGTCAAATGAAAATGATTATTTGCGAAAAAGAAAGACATAGACTATAATGAGGAACGAATGATAAAGAAGATATATTGTGATGATGGCTATGTTACGCCATTATAATTACAGCATAATCCGAAAGATAGTTTAAAGTTCACCTTCTGAGACATCTCTATACTTTCCAAGGTAATTATCACTGATTTCTTTTATTGCTAATGGTGATCATCAGCACATGTCTTAGTCTATTAAAGTTCTTTATGTCTTGTCAGCGACAAGCTTAATGACAGCAGAAGTGACAATGACTTTACCTCAGAGAAAGAAGTCATAGATTTCTGGATAAGCTATTACTATCCTTTGATGAACTTGAAAATCAATATTACACAAGAAATATTTCAACATATTAACGAAATTTATCAACAATTGGTAATATATATTTAAATCCTAAGTCAGATAAAAATATAACGTATTTGATTACCGTAGAAGTGTTTCATTCATTCACTATCACGGGACATACCCATATTTATTATTATGCAATTCTATATAAATCAAAGACAAAGATCAATCAGTTTTTCAAATATGTGATATTATTTATTTTGTTTATTATATTAAATTGTTAAAGAGTTCCAAACTCACCAATTCTTTTTGTGCATTACGTAGAATAGTATCTATACCCTCCTCTGCAAATTAAGGGCAACAAAATCTTCAAGATCTTTGACTATCTCGCTTTCTTCATCATTTAGATACTTTGATCTGATATGGGTCCCCGCAGTTGCATCGACTAATATCGAATAATAATGATAATAAGTATTTGTATCATAATAGAGTCGAACGTTCACAGTTAGCTGCGGCCACGAAGCGCTTTCGTTTCCCCGATCAATATATCCTATTCACCACAAAAGCCGGAGAATACTCTCATACGACTCTTTTTTTTCATTAACGAAGAACGTTCACAGCTATGCAGAGTAACAAGAACCATAGAGTATTTTTCATGTATCCTATTCACCACGACCAGAGAGACTACCATCTCGACAGTTTTTCATTAACTGGAGGGAGTACCATCTCGACAACTTTGTAGGTAACGAAGCTTCGATTCCTTTACATTCTTTCGAAAACCCCGACTTACACCTAGTGGCAGCGTACCTTCAGATACATATACAATATAGTAGTTATCTTGCAAGCTGTGGCCACGACTTGTTGAGGAGAGTGTGGAACGGGCACTTTTTGAGCCCAGTCATAGCAGTAATGGGCTGTTGCTGTGTGAAAATCGACTATGTAAATGGTAATCCTAGTAATAGCTAACAAATGATACTAAGTAAGGTAACATACCATCAACAGACTTCAACGATAGACTAGCTTCCTGAATATTAGAGAATTCTTGTTGAGCTTGTGTGATATTTTCTTGATAGTACTCTCGTTCTAGCCTGGCGACTTGCAGATGATCATTATACTCCGCAATAACATCTTCTTTTCTTTGGGGATCATTAATGTGCGCGATCTTATAATGAAGTGCTTCACAGACGGGCCATCAACAACTAGTATAACTGTAGCATTAGATAAGTATTGGGTAACAGCTGATGTCAAGTTTTTTCCTGTAGGTAGTGTATCATGGCTATTTAATATAGCAACCAAACATAAGATGTCTTCTGGGGTTGGTGCTTCATAGGTTTCGAGAATATCATCCCATGTAGTTGTGTTGTGAAGAAGTTGGTAAAGCATCCAATTGTAATTGCCAATGGCTTTATATTGATCTGGTTCATTAGTTGAAGTCCAGGGGGTGCCATTCTCCAAGGTGGTATAAAACACCCAAGTATTATTAAGTCTTTTATGTAGTTCATGTGCCCCATTCATTGTTGTTGGTAAACAATTAATTGTTGTTAAATGAAACTCAGCAGCATTCCTAGATTTTCCAGTACCAGCACCAGCAAGGAAAAAATAGGTAGGCATGGTTGATTTGTCTCGTTCATTTTTGATGTAGTAGTTGTAATGTTGCATTAGTTCATGTCAGAGTTTGTGGCACAATTCATCAGATAGTTGATAATCCCATTTAGCCCCAGAAGTGTTAAGTAACATTTTTGGGTCAGGGTTAATATATGGAAGGCCTAGAGAATTAATTAAATCATAATTAATGTGAAATGAGATATCTTTGGACGCTCATTCATGTCTTCCACTACTTATACTGCTACTGCTACTTCTGCTCCCTCCTACTCTGCTGTTCTCCAACAGCCTGCACCTGTTACTATACCAAAGGCTCCAGAAGGTTATTTTAAATCAGTTCCAACCAACTTTCCTCTGGTGAATCCTGATGGCTCCTTTACTCTCTTCAACTGGAAAAATACTGTCTCCTCCCTTGTTAACAAACCTTTTGTAGGTCGTATTCCTCCAGACTGCAACTCTCCAAACTCATTATTCATTGATCGTAAAGCCAATCGCATTTCTGACAAAACCATCCTCGAAGTTTTTGCCAAAGATCTCCTGGGCACTGCCTTCTTCCCATCTGAACAGTTTGTTCAACTCACTTTCAAGGACTTGGAAACCTATGAAAAATACTTACACAACCTCTCTTTCACTGTTAAGGACAAAACTTACCACCTTTCTCCTCCTAAGCATATCCCTAGATCATCTCTCACTATTCACCTGCATGGTCTTCCAATCCTTCCCAAACCAACTATCAGCAAAGCCATCTATGATGCTCTTTCTGAGTATTGTAATGTCCAAGATGTTGCACCAGTTCTCATTAAAGGAACAGAACTTATCACTCCAAAATGGGATGCTGTTGTTACTCCAATCTCTCACAAACAGATTCCTGTTCACTTGAATATCCTTGATTCATCTATTGCCCTTACTTGGATCAATTCATCCAAAATTTGCCTCTGTTGCCATTGTCGAGGCAATAGTCATGGGAGAGCGGATAACTACTGTCTCGGTTTGGGATCTAGCTGCGCCGTCGTAGGAGTGTG